CTAACCGAACCTAACCTATAAAGATAGGTTAGGTTAGGTTAGGTAGGGTTGGTTAGGTTCGGTCATATATCTACGTTAATTTTAACTCCAATAAAAAAAATTCACCTCATACATAATGAAATGGGTAGCTTTATCATTTCATAAGAAAAAAATTAGAGAAAATATATTAATTCAGGAAAACTTGGCTTATTAGGCAAATCGGGCCTTGAATAGTAGGCCTAGAAGTGCATTCTGGCTACTAGGTACGACATATATATATATATATATATATATATATATATATATATGTCGTACCTAGTAGCCAGAATGCACTTCTCAGCCTACTATGCAAGGCCCGATTTGCCTAATAAGCCAAGTTTTCCTGAATTAATATATCTTCTGTAATTTTTTTCTTATGAAATGATAAAGCTACCCATTTTATTATGTATGAGTTCAATTTTTTTTATTGGCATTAAAATTAACAATTAATTCATGAAAACTTGGCTTATTAGGCAAATCGGGCCTTGCATAGTAGGCTGAGAAGTGCGTTCTGGCTATTAGGTACGACATATATATATATATATATATATATATATATATATATATATATATATATATATATATATATATATATATATATATATATATATATATATATATATATATATATATATATAGAACACTTTCTAAAGAATATATAAAGTGTTCTATATATATATATATATATATATATATATATATATATATATATATATGTATATATATATATATGTATATATATATATATATATATATATATGTCGTACCTAGTAGCCAGAACGCACTTCTCAGCCTACTATGCAAGGCCCGATTTGCCTAATAAGCCAAGTTTTCATGAATTAATTGTTTTTCGACTACCTAACCTACCTAACCTAACCTAACCTAACTTTTTCAGCTACCTAACCAAACCTAACCTATAAAGATACGTTAGGTTAGGTTAGGTAGGGTTGATTAGGTTCGGTTACATATCTACGTTAATTTTAACTCCAATATAAAAATTTTTACCTCATACATAATGAAATGGGTAGCTTTATCATTTCATAAGAAAAAAATTTAAGAAAATATATTAATTCAGGAAAACTTGGCTTATTAGGCAAATCGGGCCTTGCATAGTAGGCTTAGAAGTGAGTTCTGGCTACTAGGTACGACATATATATATATATATATATATATATATATGTCGTACCTAGTAGCCAGAACGCACTTCTCAGCCTACTATGCAAGGCCCGATTTGCCTAATAAGCCGAGTTTTCATGAATTAATTGTTTTTCGACATCCTAACCTACCTAACCTAACCTAACCTAACTTTTTCGGCTACCTAACCTAACCTAACCTATAAAGATATGTTAGGTTAGGTTAGGTAGGGTTGGTTAGGTTCGGTCCTATATCTACGTTAATTTTAACTCCAATAAAAAAAATTGACCTCATACATAATGGAATGGGTAGCTTTATCATTTCAAAATATATAATTCAAACTGGCTTATTAGGAGAGTTGTGCCTTGCATAGTATGAGAATATTCTATATTAGGTACGACATATATATATATATATATATATATATATATATATATATATATATATATATATATATATATATATATTATGTAAAGAGGGAGAACAGTGGTATAGAATTCCTGAAGCTGGGTAATTCTTGTCTTGTCAGTTTCTTGGTGGACTTATTTGTGAGGAGTGTGAGGCTGGTGTGAGAGGTGTGAGGTGTGTGTAGGGGAGGAGGTGTGAGGTATGAGGCGGTGTGAGGGTGTGTGTAGGGGGGAGGTGTGAGGTATGAGGCGGTGTGAGGTGTGTGTAGGGGAGGAGGTGTGAGGTATGAGGAGGTGTGAGGTGTGTGTAGGGGAGGAGGTGTGAGGTATGAAGTGTAGGTGGGGGGATGCTTGTGTAATAGTTGGCAGCGTCACTCTTCATCAGGGTGAGGCTGGTGGGGGTCACAGTCAAAGTCAGATTGTTTATTTGGTTTATGTGAACAATGCAACTTTGGGTAAACTACTGTAACGTTAGTTTACTTATTAATGTGACTTGATTTACGTCAGGGGATTCCAACCTGCACACATAAATAACATCACATGAGACCAGAATCATACATCAGGCTGCGAGCAGCCGCATCCAACAGCCTGGTTGACCAGTCCAGCAACGAGGAGGCCTGGTCGACGACCGGGCCGCGGGGACGCTAAGCCCCGGAAACACTTCAAGGTAACCTCAAGGTAAGGGGGCCTGCGGGCCGCTCCAAGAAACAGTCTGTTGGACCATGCTCTCGCAAGTTTCTTGGGAGACTAGAAGAATTCCCAGAACTCTCTCCAGGTACAATTCAGGTATCCAGGTACCATGTCTGGGCTGTGACGGTGTACCTGAAACTATTTTTTTTTTTTTTTTTTTTTTTTTTTTTGAGATATATACAAGAGTTGTTACATTCTTGTACAGCCACTAGTACGCGTAGCGTTTCGGGCAGGTCCCTGGAATACGATCCCCTGCCGCGAAGAATCGTTTTTTCATCCAAGTACACATTTTACTGTTGTGTTAAACAGAGGCTACAGTTAAGGAATTGCGCCCAGTAAATCCTCCCCGGCCAGGATACGAACCCATGACATAGCGCTCGCGGAACGCCAGGCGAGTGTCTTACCACTACACCACGGAGACTGTACATGACTATGAAAAAATGTTCCTAAATTAATATTAACTAAAAAGAAGAATCAAACAAATACCATACGTATTCCTGCTTCGTGATTTATTATTAATTTAATATATATATATCTTCCCAGAGATGGTAGAGGAAGATCTTTTATTCGCAAATTTATAATTAATATCATCTAGGGAATGGCCCCGGGTTCGAAGCCTAGGCAGGGTGGGACGATCTTCCCAGCCTTCAAGAGTGTGTCCATGCAGAAGCCGATGGCCGTCCCTGAGCCCATTATGTGCCTCTGTAACCCTTTCCACTACCGCCCACGGGATGGGTATGGGGTGCATAATAAATGAACTAAACTAAAACTAACTAACTGTCTTCCGGGATGATCCTGTAGGAAGCAGAGGTCCTAGCCTGCTCACATGGGCTGTCTGTGAATTGTTGATATAACAACATTATGTGTCTCTGTACCCATTCAACTACTACCTCACAGGATGGGTGTGGGTGCATAATAAATGAATTAAACTAACGATGGGAGGGAGGGGGGGCCGGTCATGACCCCCCCCTCCCGTCAGCACAGCTGGCGAGGAATAAGAAACGGTAATAAAGATGAGTGAAAGTGCCCAAGTGACAATGGCCTGACCAGCCAGGAGGGTAAAGCTAAAAAAGATGGAGCCTGCAAGTTAAGCACACCGAGTGAGCTTGCGTGACCACGGGTCACAGCCGGGTGTGATGAGGGCGATCTGCACGGAGCCAGCTAAGGAGTGGCCTCAGAGCCACTCCTGTGCCCCTGAGGAGTGACCTGGAGGAAGACCTCCTCCTGGTCACTCCTCAGGGCTGACCCGTGGTCACCCAAGCTCACTCGGCCTGCTTATACTTGTGCAGATTCCAGCTTTTTGAGCTTTACCCTTCTAGCTGGTCAGGTGATTGTCACTTGGGCACTTTCACTCATCTTTATTACCGTGTTACGTCTTTACTTTGTACTTTGTAGGACTGAAATGCTTTTTCACCCACAGGGTTATTACCAAAACTGTTGAATTTTAAAATCCAATTAGAGAAACTCATCAGGACAAATGCGGGGACCTTTGACAAGACGCCGGCTTTTTGTCCTCGTCAAGTCTACTATAGACAGTACGTGGCCTTCAATTCAATTTATTTCTTTATTATGCACCCCATACCCATTCCGTGGGCGGTGGTGGAAAGGGTTACAGAGGCACATAATGGGTTCAGGAACTGAACCTCAGAGTTTAGCTAAGCAAGTGACAATCTTTTGAAGCTAGTTACACAACTGTTAATGTTATACATACATGTACATAGATATATATACAATTATTTACACAAATACATATAAACATCGATAATCTTTGTGTATCACAAGTGATTCAACAAGAGGCTCACAACAGTCATATACAAGGCACTTTACATCTATGGTGAGTCACACAGTTACTAGTCTTGCTTCACACCCACCCAACTGGGTGGCAGCTTTACAGTCATGTGCTCCACACTCACCCAACTGGGCGGCAGCTTTACAGTCATGTGCTCCACACCCACCCAACTGGGCGGCAGCTTTACAGTCATGTGCTCCACACCCACCCAACTGGGCGGCAGCTTTACAGTCATGTGCTCCACACCCACCCAACTGGGCGGCAGCTTTACAGTCATGTGCAGGCTGCACCTGCAGTAAGCAAATTTTGGATGCTTCAGGTAAACTCATCCTCTTAATTTCCTTTTGTCGGTCCCCCCCCCCTTCGTGCATACACAGATGTACTCATTTACTTTATCGTTCCTTATAATATGTTATTTCAGAGTTCATTAATGTTCATTTACTAAAGTTTATTTTAGTTCATTATTGTTCATTTCCTGGTCCAGGCAAATGAGGGGACCTTCGACAAGCCGTCGGCTAACTGTCCTCGTCGCGGCCACTAGTGTTAGTGGCCCTCAGGTAAACTCAGGTAATTTACTACAGATTAACTTACTAATGTTCATTTACTCTCTTACTTTTGTACTTTATAATAGTAATACAGTAATACTTATAATTATTTTCCCCATTCTGTGTTTCGCTCGACCTCAGAAAAAATTAATAAATGTATATATATAATTTTTAACTTAAACTAGTACTATGTTGTGTAATTATACATATATGAATAAATGTATCTATCCAGCTGAAAGTTCGTCTCTGGAAACCAAATGGAACAAAATGCTTTCTTATTAGTAATTAATACCAAATATTATGAATAATCAAGTAACGAACTGATAATTTCAAAATTAGTATTTTATTATTGTAAATGATGTGATAAAGTATCTACATAGTGACATATTGCTATAACGTTTGCATTTTCAGCTTCTCGCTTGACCGTGTCGGGCGGCGCCGCCTGTGATTGGCCAAAGATTTGAACTGTTCAGTTTTGTGGTGTTGTTTAAAGTACTGAGATCGGCGACCAGCTGAGCAGCGAATACTTGTGGTTATTAAGGACTGTTGCGGCGTGCCTTGTTGAGGATAGCAGTAGAGAGAGACACAGGAGAGGTGAGTGGATGGCGGGGACAGGTTGTCGCGTAGGGGGAAGATGAGGACTGTTCCAGACTGCTGGCTAGTAGAGGCGAGGTCCGCCATCAGAGTTTGTGTGGGAAATATCTCCTTGGATTTATTTATATATTTGGTTATCTCCTGTTGGGTTAGCAGTCCAGGGTGTGTTATTTTGTTACCGGCCATGGGTTATTCAGGTAAACTAGGGTGTTTTTGAGAGGAAGTTGGTGTCAAATTTGAAGTACCGGGACGAGCCTCTGAACTTTGCGGGTTGGCAGCAAAATGGCTTCAATTCAGTGAATTTCTTCAGTATTGTGTAATAATGAATTATAATGGACTTGTTTCCAGGCTTTTTGAAGAAACTTGAGTTTTCAGGTTCATAGATTGTTACATAGTGTGGGGGATTTATTCAAGCAATTTATTGCCCTTTTGTCTAAAATAGTTTTCATAACATATGTGTCCTTTAAAGATAATTTATTCCCTCTTGTAGCTTCTGAGTTACCAAACACCAGGTGACAGGTTTATACAAAAGTTGAGCAGGCGTCTTGATAACTGATAAGTGGCGAGGTGTGGTGATAATGGGACCTGGTAACGGTATATTAGTTGTTTCCGTATTATTGGCCACTTTGTTTGCTTCCCGTGTGTGTGGAGGTGTTACACGGCCTCTTGACCGTTCATTTTCTTCTATAAGTGCTGTATATTGTTAGGCTGTGTTAACTTGGATTGGGTAAGGTTTGGCAAGTTTTAAAATCGGTTAGCGAAGTAAAGGTACTGTACTCTCAATTTAGCCACCCATATAGGGCAACTCCTTACTCTGGTACCACTAGGTATCCAAGTACCCGACTGAGATGTGGTATTAATATGTTAGGTAATATGGCATATTTAGTGTGCATTGATGGCATTTTTCTATTTAGTAACAATACAGTACTTGAGTTTGGTATCCAGAGACCAGAAAGAGGTCATTTTTTAAGACCGTTCTTTTTAAAACCTTATGACCATCACATTGACTATTTTTAACACAGCTCAGCCAGACGTGGCAACACCTCAGATGTTGTCCCACATATGGACTTGTGATGGTGCTGTCGTACCATACACAACCACCACCACTGCAACCTGTTGGGGGTTTAGCTCTAGCTCTTTATGGCCCACCAACTACATTTATACCTGGCACCCTAATTGTCCCTCTCAATATATAACATTCGTAATTTGTAAAGTGAATGGAATTGGCTTCAATAATCTCTTCAGTGCATTCCATTTTCCTACAACCTAATGAGAACTACTTTACATATGTTTAACTATTGCATGTTCAGCTTCCACTGATGTCCTTTTGACCTACCTAATTTTTTAATTTAAATAGGCTTGCTTTATCCACTTTATTCCCCCTCAAGATCTTGTATGTAGTCGTCATAACCCCACAGTTTCTTCTCTAAGGTTGAGGCCACATTCTCAACCTGTCCTCATAGCAGAGGCCTCTTAATTCTAGTGCTAATCTAGTTGCAAATCTCTGAACAAGGTAACAAAGTTCCTACATCACCCAGTGTCCAGATGCATGCCTACTTAGCCTGATATTATGCGCTAGGATGTCCTTAAAAACAGTAGGGTAGAGTAAGAGGGTAGGGGGATGCAAAGCTCCAAATCCCACACTCCCCCCTGCTACATCAAGGAATTTAACATCCAGAGCATCCTGAAGCACATCCCTAGAAATTCTTGCTGGAACAGTTTGCTTATTATACAAGACTAGTTTTCTCTTGCAACATTCATAAGTACAGTACAGTATTAAGGTCTCAATGTTTTGGCTTCACCAAGAGTTGTAAGAATTTAGTCATAGTTTTATTATGCATGTAGTCAAATTGTGAATGCATTCTGATTAAATGTATGTTCAATCAATTATAGCAGTTTTTAAAAGCTTCTCTAAGGACTTGGTATCAGATTGGGGGACCTGATGGCTGAGTGGACAGCGCTCAGTGTTTGTAGTCCTAAGGGTCCAGGTTCGATCCCCAGTGGAAGGCTGAAACAAATGGGTAGTTTCATTCACCCTGATGCCCGATACCTAGCAATAAATAAGTACAGTACCTGGGAGTTACAGCTGCTACGAGCTGTTTCCTGGGGATGTACATGTGTGTGAAAATTAGGATCAAGGACTTGCCCAAAATGCTATGCATGCTAGTGGCTGTACAAGAATGTAAGAACTCTTGTCTATATAAATATAATAAACAAAAAAATCAGTGGATCTAGATAAATTGTCAATTTTTTCCTTTCATAATTGTCAAGGTCTTAACAATGAGATCGATAAAAGGAGTTGAATTTGATTTGTTTTACCATGACACTGATATACAGTACTGATTGTCCTCGATTACTTTGGAATCCAGTTATAACTGCTAAACAGTTAAAGTAGCTCATGACGTTGGTGAAAACACACTGTACCATGTCGATGTCAGTCTTTAATGGAGCAATGCTAAATACTTGTATAAAAGTATTAGTCTAGTTTCTTATGGATTCGCTGCCCATTTTGTGGGCAGTAGCATTTTTGGTTAATTACATAACGAGTTCAGAAACTAAACTCAATGTTCTTAAAGATAAGCAAGTAATTTATAAAAAAATACAAATGATTGTCCCTGCATTCCTATCTAGTATTTTAACTAATTGGTACATTACTTTTAATGTGTTGCAGTACAGAAAATTTCAGATTAAAAAGATAGCTAAAGAGCTTGGATTTAATGTTCCAATATGACTAATTTATAGATTAAACTGGAGAAGCTGTCAGGTCTAATTTCCAGCACCATGTTTATCTCTGCTGACAACTATCTATTAGCATATACTGTACTGTACTTCTTTTCCTCCATAACCTTTCTTGTTTACTATTTGGTGATTTTCATCAGACTTTGATTTATTCAATTTTAATATTTTGTTATTCATTTTCACATCTTCAATTTCATGCACATCTTTTATAAGTTTTGACATGTCTGGTTTATTTAAAACAGTTGTGCTAGTTACTTGATAAATTTATTTTTATTTTTCTCTCTCCCTCTCCTTGTTTTCTGTTCTTGACTTGCATAGCCAGTGTAAAATCTTGCATGACTTTATATATAAACACTGAAAAAGACTCGCTATTACTTCAAGATGATCTAAATAGGGTTTTGAAATGGTCAAAAGATTGGCATATAGTTTGAATAGTGTCAAATGTAAGAGTTTGAGGCTAAGTAATGATAATAGTTACAAGATATGAGCTAGATGGTGTTAAGATTGCAAAGTCGGATTGTGAAAAGGATCTGGGAGTTATGATTAGTGAGAATTTAAAACCAAGGAATCATTGCATAATGTTTATAATGGGCAGATGGGACACTGGGATTTTTCTCGAAGCATTGGTAGTGGAACACATGGTGTTCAACTGTCTTGCTCTTGTTGGGCCCCATTTTGATTATGCAGTTCAGTTTTGGTTGACATACTATAAAATGAATATAAAATCACTGGAACGTGTTCAGCTTAGGATGACAGTTGTTAATCCTGCAAATTAGAAACCCATCATATGAAGTAAGAATGATAGTTTAATTTACATTCTCTAGAAAGGCAAAGAATTGGGGGTGATATGATAGGTGTGCAAGTGGATTAATGGGTGCATAGCAAAGGGGATATTAAATAATTGACCAAACCACATGCTAGAATTTGAAGAGATGACGTTTCGGTCCGACCTGGACCATTATAACGTCAGTTGTGATGAGACGAGGGAGGCAGGGGCATCAAATAGGAGAGAAGATGGAAATCTTAAAGGAAGATAAGAGCAAGGCAAAAGGTACGGAAGGTAAGGTGTAATAATAGGAAAAGAGAAAAAAAGAGAAAGACCGAGATAAAAGGAAGGGCAGGCTTATGTTAGGTTACATTTATTTATTAATAGGGATATTAATAGGATGTTGGGAGTATCAACACAAATTAGAACACGAAACAATGGATATAGATTGATACGTTTAGGCTTGGGAAAGACCTGGATCATTTTAAAATTGGACATTCATCATGCATTTACGCTATCAGATCTATATAAAATATTGTAGAATAAACAATTTTCTTTCACATGCATATTGGTTTATAAAAAAATTGCAATAATTAAAATAGTACTAATTTTATGAATTAATTTCAGAGTTGAATATGGCTCGCACATGTGATGACTCGTACGAGTTTAATGCTCCTAAACACTACTTTGATCTAAATGCAGAGGACAATGAAGTGGATGAATCATATTTTGGTAAGGTTTCCTTGTTTTTTGCATGTTTTACTGGAGACTTGTGGAAGAAAATTTGTCAAATACACATGGCTTTAAGGAAAATGTAATGATTTGGAGTTGAAGATGCTGTATTGATAAAATTAAACATATCTGTTCTTCTTTTAGATATACTGTACACAGTAGTGGTCAGCTGAAGCGCTGAATATTCCTGGTCGAGTACTATAGAATGGATATAAATTCACTAGAATGCACCCAGAGTAGGATGACAAAGTTGATCCCACAAATTAGAAACTTGTCATATGAAAAAAGATTGACATTTTAATTTCCGTTCTCTGGAAAGGCGAAGAATCGAGGGCGACATGATAGCGGTGTACAAGTGGATGAGTGGGCAAAACAAAGGGGATATTAATAGGGTATTAAAAGTAACACAAAATAGAACATAAAACAATAAGTATGAATTGAATAAGTTTAGATTTAGGAAAGACCTGAGTAAATACTGGTTTGCTAACAGGGTTGTTGATTTGTGGAACCAATTACCGCGCAACGTGAGACCCCCTTGATTGTTAAGTGTAGGTTAGACATGTGCAGTATATGAATGAGTTTGGGTTGAAATAAATAGCTGTCTCGTATGGGCCAATAAGCCTTCTGCAGTTGCCTTCATTCTTATGTCCTGGTTTGATTGGAGGGCATTGATATGCCCTTTGATCGATTGTTCGACAATACACACATTTCCTTACACCTGACGCCTAGCAGAAAATAGGTACAGTACTTTGGTTAGGCAATAGTTTTGGGTTGCATCTTGGAAAGGTCAGTAGTTGACCCAGGGGGACCTCAATAATCCTAGCAGGTTTCATGTCTCCGAGAATGGGGAAACAATTTATTATGGTTTGGTATTTAGATTATAGCTGTGTACTATAATATCTCCAATATTTTTCAGACTGCCCAAAGAGTGCTGAAATAATTAAAGAGGAAGGCAATTTTCGGAGAAAGCCAAATGCACCAGATACGCCTTCACTTGCTTCCACTACAGAGGTTCCAAGTGCACCAGCTGAACCTTCACCTGCTTCCACTATGGAGGTTCCAAGTGCACCAGCTGAACCTTCACTTGCTACCACTGTGGAGGTTCCAAGTGCACCAGCTGAATCTTCACCTGCTTCCACTATGGAGGTTCCAAGTACACCAGCTGAACCTTCACCTGCTTCCACTACGGAGATTCCAAATGTACCAGCTGCACCCTCGCCTGCTTCTACTGCGGAGATTCCAAGTGCACCAGCTGCACCTTCGCCTGCTACCACTGCGGAGATTCCAAATGTACCAGCTGGTCCTTTACATGCTACCATGGAGACACCAGTGAGACCACGCGTTGTCTCTCAAAGTACCAGAGACAGAGATCCAGATCCAGAGAACAAAGGCAAGTGATAAATAGGGGATAAAAGGCATTTATTTAAGCTTTAAATAAATTGGTTTGTGTTAATGACAAATGGTGCTTTGCATTTGTAGTGAGCTTTGTTAAATTGGAGGCATTGGAGTGCCACTCCATTTGCAGAGATGCTAGAGTGGCGCTCGGGCACCTCTGCAAATGGATGAGGGCATGTGGGGAAAGGGAGATGTCTTGTGGGTGATGGTTTATCATGGCAGGAAAATATTATTATTACATCACTAAGTTAATGTTATATTTCTTTGTTTTTTAGATTTAATAATAATTAAATTTTTATATACTGCATTAAGAGTAAACAGGCTGAATTGTACTGGTACGAATCTGGTGTTTAGACTGAAGAAATGTGGAAGAAAAAAAGGAAACCTATGCATGGTTAGACTTCATGGATGATAAACTTGAGTGTAAAGTATGTGCAAACATAAGCAATGTAACACTTTTCACTTCTAAGGGTTTAAGACTATCAAATGAATGGCAGATTTACCAAGTATCCTATTATGGAGCAGATCGAAGTACACGCTTAATGTGTCTCGGAAAATAAAATTGATCATAAGCTGCCGAAAGCTCGCACTGCTGCTTTACGTGTTGAAAATGTAGCCAGTGAAGATGCTCTTGGAAAATTGTGTGATGCAATGAATGCTTCGCATCTAAAGACAACTTGTTAAATTTTGTGTTCTGCATATTATGTAGCTCAGAATGACAGACCATATTCTGATCACTTTGGCTTACTGGAACTACAAAAGCAAAATGGTGTTGACATTGGAATGGGACTGCATTCCTACACTAGTGTCAGAGATAATTAATCACATAGCCATTAATATGAAAATGGAAATGTCAGCATGTCAAGCAGATAAATGGCAAATTTTCTGTTCTCGTTGATGAATCGACAAGCCTGAGCATTAAAACAACCTTGATAGTTTACTTGCAATGTGAAAATGTTAAGGAAGGTAATCCCAATTTCACGTTCTTGGATCTAATTGAACTACCTGATCAAAAAGCAGCAACTATTGCTAGGCATCCATTGAGCTGTCTCGATTATCATGGGTTTGATGACTTGTATTTGAAACAGTGTAGCATTTGCTAGTGATGGAGAAAGTGTTCTGCTTGCCCCATCTTTAAGCAAGTGGTGCTTATAGCGACACTTTCGCTGCCTGATGCCGCATATTCCGTCATGGAACCAAAATACAGAAGATGCCTAATGATCCAAATGGCATCATTAATTTAAAAAATTTATAGAAGTTCCATTTATTGTCCAAAATCTATGGAACTTGTTTTAAAATGAGCTCCAACTTCTGCTCATTCTCTGTATACCCCATGTGGCATCCTGACCCCGCCATATGGGCTCCCACCCACACTGGAGGCTCGCTGTTATCGTGACCTTGTGACAGCCGCAGTCTTCACTAAAGTCGAAAGGTTTCCTCATTCTGGTTATTTTATCTTGTATTTGTTGTTACCAGTTTTATGAACACTGCAAATTGACTTCCAGTTGGATACTGATCAAGAACAATCAATGACGAAAGCACCGAAAGAAACACGATAAAGATAGTTTTCGTCGAAAGTATAGAAAAGTGAGACTTGTATGTTCTCATAGCCAGATATTCATTTACAGCATTCTATTGCGAACAATTTGATACCGAATTGAACGACGTAGCACAAAAATTGAGGTCAGAAATCTAAAAGGAGTATAAATGCTTATGGGTGATGGCGAATTCATGTGCACTGCTCGGCCGACCTTGGAGTGCGTTGCGGGTTGCCCGGTGTGACAGCAAAAGTGCTAACACTGTGTGTTCTTATTAGTGTCATCTGGAGTTGCAACAATTCTCAAGGAACATTACCCTGATATAATAATCTGGCACTGTCTTAATCACAGATTAGAACTTGCTGTAGGTGATTCAGTGAGAGGGGTTCATGGAATTGACCATTTACAAGCATTTATGGACATTGTATTCAGTTTACAGTAGATCACCTCTAAATCAAAAGGAACTATCTGAATATGCCTCTCAACTTGAACAACGGATTTTCAAAATAGACAGTGTTCTGAGCACCAGGTGGGTGGCCAGCTCGTTTTGAATAGTTTCAGCACTGTGAACATACTGTGAAGCACTTTTTCATTTTGAAAAAGCAGTCAAAGCTGAAACAAGACTTGGAAGTGATGGAAAAACCTATGCAGGTCTGTTGAAAAAGCTAACTTCAGAACAGTGTCTATTTGATTTAGCTCTAATGTATGATATGTTGCATGACCTTGGTTTACTGTCAGTGTGTGTACAGAAACACACTACTTCAATTGTGTGTGTTGACAAACTGATTCAGTGGAGCATAAGGTCATTGCATGGCCTAAGAGAAACCTAGCACAAGAATGTTAGCTCAAAAGGTAATTGAAAAGGGAAAGTTTGGAGGAATTACCCTAACAAGCAACAAGAAAATTGTCTCCATTATCAAGTTTCTTACTAGTCTTGTGAACAATTTGCAGCACTATATGTTCCCGACAACATCCATGAAAGGCTCTCAAACTTTTGAACCTGGGTGTATGTAAATCACTGCAAAGTGAAATGTCCCTGTAAAAAGACCCGATTACAGATACATTGAAATATTATCTCTAAGAGGTTTAAGCTTTCTTACTCTGCACTAGATGCCTTTAGAGACTGGAGGATTGTGGATGCTGCATCCCCCAAGATTTACACCCATTACTGAGCTGTTTACAAGTTGACTTCCTTATTTACAAGTTGACTATTAGTACTGCTGAGTGTGAGGGGATTCAGTCACATGAACCTGTTAACAACACGCTCAATAATTTTCATGAATCATGTATCGGCTCTTAAGCTTGTTAAACTACATGGATCTCCTCCTAGTTCAGTGGAATCCTGAGCCATATGCCATATCATGGCTGCGGTACCACAGATTGGCAGATGACATCAGGAGAAGAGTAGCTTCACACCCCTGAAAAAATCTCGCACCTGACCCTCTGTGGTAACTTGTGAAACTTCTCGCTGGTTGTATTTTGTGAGCACTCGGTATTTTAACTTCATAAATTGATAAATACATGATGTTTTTTCTTTGTGTGATAATTATATTTAATGATTCGTGAGTACAAACACAATACTTAATTGTGTGCCATGTACTGTATAGACAATGGATAGGAAATGACAGGATTTTGTCAGGCCCACCAGAGCTCCGTCACCTATAAAATTGGCACTGCACTTTTGCTACAATGCCTTTGCAGGAAGTTTAGAGGCCTCAGAAAAGTCACTAATTTGTAAAACTATAGTATGGTTACAAGCTTAAAACATTTCTAAAATATAATTGCAGTATTTTAATTGGAATAATTTTCGTATAAATAAAAAACAAAATTATAAAAAATGAGAAACTTTGATGGAAATTGTTATGCAGATCCAGATTTCATCCAAAATTTGTAAGGGGAAATCAGTGAGTGGATTTGGTCCTTTTAAGAGGGATTTGTTAGAGGAAAGTCATGGTCTAGGGGGTGCACTGCAGTATTTCTTGGTCTTAACAGCCATTTGGACTACTCAAGCTACAGTGCTCGGCATCTTGTCTATAGTGTCACAAATCTTATTAATAAGAATTTAGCTATTGCTCAAGCTATAATTGGACTGCTTGTACATTTCTGAAAGCATCAGATTCTGCCAGCTCCCTCTTCATACAGTGCATAATGTCTTTACAGAAAACATTAACGGCAACTCGGTTAAGAGCAACAAATCTGTGAAACGTAGGAAAAGCCTCGCAGGCAGGACGTCAAGTGTTGGTGTCAGATATTCCCCACGACTTGCTGCAATTGCTAAGGTATACAACTACCCAATCTTCTGTACTCGTGTAAAAGATCTTTAAAGTGTGTGTCTGCTTAACCAGGATTATTAAAGGAATACATTTTGATTCTTACAATAATACCTAATAATCAAATAAGCATTTTTATTTATAAATAGTGATCCTTTAGAATAGTTAGCACAGTAAATTAATTACCCAAGTCAATAAGAACATTATGATTATATACTATGATTTGAGTTTAGATGGAGTGTAGAACAGGAATTATATTTTCACTCCAGCCAAAACATTATAAACTGCTTTGGCTGGAGTGAACAGGTATTACAGCCATAGAAAAACCTTGTACAGTAGTTGACAATTAGAACGGCGAGATCTTGGATATTTGAGGGTAAATTGACAAGTCTGTTAGGTATTGCTGGTGGGTATAGTTCCAACATCTAAGATATTAAGTAATGGTATTAGAGCACCAGTCTTTTTATGGTAGTTGGGGTATGCCTTAAGAAAACAGTATTAGTACATCTTGTGTTTCTGAGATGTCAAGCGATGACCAGGGGTTCCTCATTAGGTTACATTTAAAAACTGATCTAATGCATCAATACCAGTATAATTTAAGAGCAAGGTTCTGGTGAGATAATTACTCAAATTTAGAATCGTTCATCTCATTAGTAAGGATACTGTAATAATTTAAAGTGTTGCATTTCCATTATCAAACGGTAATGGGTTTTTATTTTTAATTTTTATAATATAAGGATTTTTACTGTTATTTTCAGAAGTCAAAATTATTCTTAATATTAAATAAACTTAAAATGTTTTGCAGGCCATACGTAGAAGCAGTGCTTCCAGACAGTCACTTGGTAAATCAAGTCCCCATGAATTTGAAAAGAATAAAGTTCACAAAACCAGGACACACAAGTAAGGTTTATTAAGATCTGGTTTATATTACTGCATTCTCAATTACATTCACCAGTTGTAAGCCATAAATATTTTAATTGCTTGATGGAACGTTTAAATAAAATTGCAATAATCATAAGCATTACCTCGTCTTGTACCTCTCCACTACGTGCAAGGATATTTTAGAAAAAATAAGTGCAAATAGGTTGAAGGGGATTCAAACTTATCCATTTGCTGTATTACCACCACTTCATAATTCAATTCAACATTCCAGCAACACTTCCACTGCAGGACCAAAGAGCTGCATAAAACATGGTGTAACGTGCTCTCCATGATTTTCTTGGACTTCTTAACATGTAACCAAATCACATTTAGCCTTGCTCCATACCATGTCTTGTGTGGTGTTCACATTTGATCCCAGCCTCCTTTTACCCAGTGTTTGTCAATTTTGCCTTTTCCTCAAATTCACTTGAATACACAAACCTAATATTTTGTCGTTCATTTATTGAGTTTGAAAGAAATGTACGTAAATTGTTACCCCTGCATTTCACTTTCATGGGGACAAGATGTGTTGTTTCTGTGGCCTACCATAAACTTGTGTCTTGTAAGAATGTTGCTGGGTCCTGGCCTGTCACACATTATATAATTTGGGATTTTTTGAATTGCACTGGCTTGTAATTCTCAAAATTATGCAAATTGACAGAACTGGAGAGCTTACTTTTGGAGGACAAAGTAAACATTTTCACCCCCTTTTGAATCCTAGGGCTGCTTGTTTAAATGTGTGTGAAGTAGTATACACCCTTAATGATTTTTTTTAGCACCCCCTTTTATTTAATGCATTAAAGGCTATTTGTATTTTCAGGCAATCTGTATCCAAGGTTACAGGAGTACAGGGCTTAAGCCCAGAAGATAAAATAGATTTAGAAAAGATTGCAACATTTAGACAAAAAATGGCTGACAATAAGAAGAAAACTGCCACAAAGCCCCTAGAGTTTCACTTTGCTACTGACAGTAGATTAAGAAACCAGAAAAAAGCTGAACCAGAAATTAAAGAGCCCAAGACTCAGGGTTCTTCAAAGCCTGGTAAACTTGAACGTACAGTGCCCCAGGAATTTCATTTTGCTACTGATAGTCGCATAAAGAATCAAGATCACACTGAAGAAGAAACTGTCGATTTTACAAAATCTCTGCGTTCTGGCACAGCAGCTGATGTGAGTATGTTACATTCCCTTGAATAGTCAAGATCTGAATGACAATCTTGTCGAAGATTGTTTTTTTACTCGCAGCCTTTTATCACTGCAAAAAATCTGAGTTACTCTAAATTTTTCATCATCCTAAAAATATTACCTTATGAGAAATTTCTGAATACCAACCCGCTTATTGAGTGTGTGCACTAAATTATTAAAAGAATGCTTTACTATTGAATATAATTGCATTGGTATTAAGCTTTCACAATAATTGAGAGGTTAAAATACATGCTTTTATTACACTGGGAATGGTATGTTCATTCAATTTTATTCATGAGTACCAAATTGCAAGAGTAGAAGTGTTTGATTCAGTCTAGATAAAACCATAGGAAATCTGACTACCATTTATTACTTTTCCATATACCACATAAGCTATCTATTAGCATTTGAATGATCTATTGTGGAAAAGCAAAAGTTTTTTCTTAAGTATAGTTGTACTGTATTTTATATATATGAAATTAGTTTGCTTTATTAATCAAAATTGTTAAATTTTCATGTAATGGCTGACCTTGTGCTTTCATCAGAACACTGAGGCAAGAAAGGGGCCAACAATTCCACAACCCTTCAACTTGACAGAATCTCGTAAAGGAAAGACAGAAGAGGGGAACAAGTTTGTATCTGTTGCAGAGCTGAACCTCAAATTCCACACAAAGACTCCACAGAGATTCCGTAGTAAGCGAGCTGGAAGCAATGGTAGGAACTTTAGTATGGTTTTGTATAATCACTCATTCTTGGAGCTACTAACTTTTTTTTTTTTTTTTTTTTTTTTTTTTTGAGATATATACAAGAGTTGTTACATTCTTGTACAGCCACTAGTACGCGTAGCGTTTCGGGCAAGTCCTTAATCCTATGTTCCCTGGAATACGATCCCCTGCCTCGAAGAATCGTTTTTTCATCCAAGTACACATTTTACTGTTGCGTTAAACAGAGGCTACAGTTTTGTAAATCCTCCCCGGCCAGGATAATCACTAGGCATTCTTGCCACTACACCACGGAGAGCTAAACTAACTCTAAATTTAAATAATTTTTTTAATAGGCAAGATGCAGAAATGATTAAATGCATTGGTGAGGGTAGTTGGAAGGGGAAGTTATGAGTACTACTTTGTAGAAGAGCTATAATTGTACAGTTAAAATTATGGGAAGTATTGTGGCAGAATTAGTTTGTCAAAAACCTTGTAAGTCACTGAGATATGAAAGCCAAGTTAGTGATTTAACCATATAAAATTAACAAATAGTAATGCATGCACTAACACTATAATTTATGAACTAATAAGCATAAGCCGGATTCATGGAATATTAGTGGGTTGTCCCTTTGAAAGTAGTCATAGAAAAATTTGGTGAATACAAGTTTCTAATTGTGTAATAATTAATTCTGCTACTATACTAGCCAGTACAAAGGAATCTCGGGTGATGAGCGGCTCCATCAATGAGCATTTTGGGTAACGAACAAGCTACTCTCAGAAAATTTCTTGATTGACGAGCTTCCACCCGGTTAACGAGAACCATGTGGTGCTTCCTAGTGTTGCCGCTGGTACTCGCCAATTTTTAGAAGCCTCTAATGATGCAAATCAATTAAAAAAATTTTAAAAGATAATAATGTTGCTGGGATGTAAAGGGGTGACTGCTGTAATGTTGCAAAGCATTGATTTTTTTTTGTTTTCTAAAAAATTTGAAAAAAGAAGAAATTTCAAAAGGTTTGTTCAGTGTATGTCAGGTATGCTGCTCCATTTTCTATGAAAAAATTAAACAAATCGAATATCATATTGATGTTTTTCGGTGGTGGAGTGGATTAATTTTATTTCCATTATTTTAAATGGGAAATTAGTTTCGCAAGACGAGCGTTTCACATGATGAGCTTGGTGCCGGAACAGATTAAATTTGTTAACCGAGGCACCACTGTTTTTGGAAAATAGCTTAAGTAATCCCTATAATAAAGATAACTCAAGACAACTCAAGAATCATAAGTTTCCTGAAACTGTGTAAAAGGTTAAGAGTTTTCTTAGCACTGTTGCCTATAGTTTTGCAGGGGGGGGGGGGGGGCAAAAGATTTTCAGCTATGAATGTTATGCATAGTATATATATATAAATGTGGCCTTGCATTTAAATAGTTGCAAGTTTGATGACAATTTTGCTTGCCTTTCCATTAATTCTTGGGACCAAATTTCAACCATTCAAATGTGCCTGTGATTTAACCACACGGGTAGTAATGCTATAGTCAAAAGAGCAAATAAAGGACTATACTGTACAGGCCACTCGACTTAAGACCCCGCATGTGGTCACCCCTAATCCTAAATCACCTAGGTTTAGGTTTTTCTTGTGATGTAACTCGGTAGTGTGCCTATACTAGGCAGATGGAATGTGGTGCACACTTTGCACTTGAAAAAAAAAAAATGGCCTTTGCAGTGTGATAATTGCACACTGAAGGAATACTCAAGTGAAAAATTGAGTTTACTCTAATATCAAAATAAACAAATAACATTGAAAAAATATTCAACACCCGAGTTGACATACATCGTTAGTACATGAAATAATAATCAGAAAAATACATATACAAATATACGTTTATACAAAAATATAGGCGACAATGAAATTTACTTATTACAACCTGGACACAACAGCTGCAGGCAAGTGTTGTGCGGAGGCACGAATGTTGATTTCCTTGAGTACCTGAGAGAGGCTGCTGAGGTGACTGAGGTCATGGGTATTTATACCCCTAATGGTGATGTCACATCTTTTGTCACCGAGGTTTGGAATGATGAGCCGGCGGCGTAACAGGTGGTTATCTAGACAGAACAAGGAACCGGCAGGTCTTGTAGCCACTACCTGCCTGGGGCTCTTGGGCTGGGTGGAGGGTTTACTGGTGGTGGGGTCCAGACATTAGTTTGGGTTGAGCTCCATACCAGTCATAATACGCGGTGTGCAGTGTAATGAACAATGAAGATAAGATGGAAGAGGCAGTTTCCTGTTATGCTGGGGAATTGTGACATTTGTTATTTTCATTAATCACTGATTTATTTATAAGTAATATTTGTTTTACTCTTCCTTCTGGGTTATACATGTACTGTATACATAATTTATCCCATTTAAAGAAAGTGGTTCATTGGGAAATTTCAATCCTTTTAATTTTAACTGGGAGGCAGTGAGCTGATTAGTTTACATTTTTTATCTTCAGTAGTATTTTGTTAGTGGGAATCCACAGTAAAGGTCTGACTAGTATTCATTTCCTGGCAGGAATAATTTGCTTAAAAGCCCAATACTTGTGCACATTTTTCATATATTGTTTTACAGTTCTCCCTTTCCTTGCTCTCTCCTCGTACCTCAGATGACCTGAACCAGGAAGGAAGGAAGAAACCCAATCCAGGAGTGACCATTCCACACACCCCTAACTTTTGTACTCGCAGCCGCTCTCGTCAAGTTAATTACCTCACACATGAAGAAATGGAACAAAAGGCATTTGAAGAAGCTCAAAGGCAAGATGGCATTTTAAGTTTCCACTGTTCTTAGTTTGCCCTATATTGTAAAAGGTAGTCAGATATCTTGTCACTGATGCAAGATAATTTATATTAATTATAAGTCGTAATTTAAAAATGGGAGTCTGATTTAACAGATCATATATCGCTGGCTATTACCGAGAGATGTTTAGTTCTGGATTTCTCTAGTCTTGTTCCCTTTTATTGCTTCCCTTGGATTGGAATACCAAATTTCTTTTCAAAATTGTTGCTGGATATACATTTCTTAATTGCCCTTTGCCTTGCACACCAACCACTTGGACTTGGCGGTAGAGTAATGGTCTGACTTTCTGAGCAATGGTCTGGCTGGTCAGCATTAAATCCCTGGTTGTCAAGGTGGTCAGGCATCATTACTTCCCTCTGTCCTATCCCAAATTCTTATTCCCATATCCCTTCAAAGTGCTATACGGTATAGTCAAAATGTCTGTGCTCTTTCCTGATAATTATTACCTTTGCCTTACACTTAATGATTAGTGTTTCATAAGAGTAAAGAGTAAGGTATAAAATTGTGGCTTTAAAAAATCTGTGCAGTGTTTTGCTTTGGTTTTAAAGTTGTAGGTGAAGGTGTCTCCCATTAACTTTAGCGCCTTACACTGGGTGACGACTCGTACAGTGTACTAATTCTTCCTATCATTTCTTTGATGCTTGTATTTTTAACATTCACAGTTGCTGTATTTTATGTTTTGGAAGTAACATTATAGTACTGTAGTCATTGCAGGTAAAATAAAAATTTTGACCAAGAATATCACCAGGAAAATCTGTCCTGGTGGTCGGTCCTCAGTTGATCAAGGTCCGGTACACAAGATCCTCAGTTGACTTGTAGAAACGTGTCCTCTCCGTACTCGTTCTCTGAAGGCAGGTCCTCTTCCTCCTTGGTACTGAAGATAGGTCCCTGCACATGTCGTCTCCCTTCTCCCACATTGGAACTGTAGACAAACTTTCAACTCGGTTCAGTGTCCCCTTCTTGATCTTCCAGTGGACTTGACCCGGTCACAGCAGCCCGCTTGATGTGTGTGAACGCGGCCCGCAGGGCGTTCTCACGACCCCGCCCAACGTTCACCTCTGCCATAGACTCTGCAAAAAAGCTCTTGGCGCTCTAACACCAACTAAGCCTTGCTTGTATTCCCTTGGAGTAACTAAACTGCCTTGACGTCTGTAGTATCAATGCGGCCGCTTGGGTCTACTGGTTGGGGCTTCCTAGCCTCCAAATTTGGAGCTCACTTGAGTGTGTCCGCTCTCAATGACGGGCCGTGACACACTGAGCGCTATAGGGCACTCGAGCCGCCCAGAGTCCTCTGCCTTGTGACGTCACACCATCCGCCGTGCCGTGCCATTGGTCAATCCTGTCACCTGACCTTATTGGCCAAATCACCAGACGGCTGGCGTCGGGCTCCTTTGGCGGGAAGCGTCCTGCCTCGGTGCCATCTTGTAACACAAAAGGGCGTAAGCTACTTGTAAAACCAAGACTAAATCAGCAAATTCACTTCCCACACGATTACTCTCAATACCTTCATATATATCAAAATGTTCCCTGAACATCAGAGAACATGCAGGTTGAAGAGATATGATTCTTAATGCCGGGATAGGAAAGATATAGGGTGGGACACCGTCACAATAGTTTTCCTGGCTTGGTGCCTATTTTTGGTAATTACTTTACTTCAGTTTCCTTTGTGTTTGTATGAAACCTATGTCAGGTAGATTTTTATCATTTAAAAAATTTTTTTTGTTCTTCAGGCATGTGTTTAAGGCACACCCAGTAAACAAGAAAGTACTGGAGGCTCCTGCAGGTTATCATGTGGAAAAGAAAGTCCCAACAGTTCCAGAACCTTTTGACATCACAGATTCCAAGAGAGTAAGTTTGTTTTTATTGGTTAATATTGTATTGTACGTATTGTATTTCCTTATTCTCCAAATAATGTATACATGTAAAGAATATGGTATTAGTCTGGTGGTGTATATAAATGAATAGTGGTACATTTTCAGAAGCGTCAGGGGGAATTTTAACATGTCGGAGCTGTGGCAGGATCAGTCTATAGTCAATAATTAAACTGCAAGTGTCCCTACCAATAATGTAACAAAACATTTCGGGTACATTTAAGCTTTATTTTATGAATGTTCCATCCATCATCAATTTTGGCCATAATAAATAGAATTTTCTGGCCTACAAACACTCAAGATGCAAAATTTGTATTTAAAGAGATTGTGCTTGTGACTCCCTTTATCTGTTGGATGGGTGCTGACTGTCTTAACAGTTATGGTTGTGCACTTCTCATTATGATTGGTTTGCTTGCATTTACTACTTGACAATAAACAAGAGCCCCTTAATCCCTTTGATGCAATAAGTTGGAACACTTGCTTCAGAAAATAGTTCACCGCCATTAATTTTACCAAATGTTATCAAAACAGAAGCTTTTGCAGTTAATACTTGTTCAGACATTTGTCATTCAAAATAGGAGCTTTGACTAGGTAGCTGTCAGTCCATATGGTAGATTAGGAATGCCTTATACCTGATGAGGATTTAGTTAGCATTATGAAGTCTGTAATAATTAATGGCATGTATGAAAAGTTTTTTCTATATTTTCTAATAAGAAGTTGCTGGAAGACCTGGAAGTTGCTGAACTTCTGCTGTTGTTACTCATTTGTTAATGAGAAACATGTTTCTATCATTATACCATATTTTATATTTAGAATATTTATTTGTTATTCATTGTGTATATTTATAGAGCTCAACCCCCCATGCAAACATTGATCACCAACACTGCTCAGTGTTGTGAGGTTTTCCTGACACAGGAAAGGGCAATATCCTGTGATCAGCTGCAGTTGAATAAGACAGTATCTTAAGTTATTATTTTGACACCTTTAAAAGAAAACCTAGCATGTTTATGCTGAACTTTCATAGTAAATAAAGTTGTGGCTGTATATCTTGATACCCATGCGATACCAAGAGGTTTCTGGTGCCAGTAGTGTATCATTTAAAATAAAGTTGATTATGAATTCCTAATTATTTTGCAGTAATGTAATGTTAAATTATTTTTTTAAGGGTTTATATGAGGTGGTACACAAGGTATAAGAGTTATTGGTGTACTGAAGTAGTGCTTAAAAATATAAGGAAATGAAAGACTTATTTTCTCATTTGTTTTTATTGTTTATAATTTTTAGGTTCACCCAATCAATTTAAAGTTTCAAGAAATGTGTAATAAATTGAGTGAATCGGCTCTATCTGTTGCATCACTTCCGCATGGTGGTATTCCAAGCAAATGGGACAAGACATCGACAACAATTCAACCATTCAGCTTTGATTCTCGTGACAAAACTAAACAACAACGCAAGCTAGAAAATATTCAAAAGGTAAAATGGAAATAGCTATAGTAATTGTGATTGTAGTTCACTAGTATAAACATTGATAGTTTAGGATAACTATTAGTCACTTGAGTGATGTGGAAGTTTGAACACTTAATGCTATAAACCCTCGCATGATAGGGCTGTTGGAAAATTTATTCAAACAGACTGGACCATTGGCTTGGAGCAAGTTGTACTCTTTATCCAGCCTGTCCTCTAGTGTGATCCCAGCATCATTAAACTGATCCACAAACCAATCCTAACTGAGGATCCATGAACAGAACATCATGTTAATGTTGTGAGCCACTATCATTTTGAGTAAATCAGTCGGTGGCCTTGAGGGATTTATACGGTACATCAATGTGATGTACTATTTGAGAGAACAGGTTGCTTTATCATCTGAGGTCACTGCCACATTATTTTATTTGTGTAGTAGTCATTATAAACAATAGGCATCAAATTATAGTGCCAAATACAATATTTAGATTAGTTCAGAGAACACTTGAAAGAATTTGGATCACAAATAAGTTTCAATGGGTTAATATCACAGCATGGTATATTAACTGCGGTGCACACCATTTGGGCAGAACAAGGTAAGTTGTGCATGAAGTTTTCCCCCTTCCTTTATGTATTTGAATTATCATAAATAGGAGGTTATTGTATTTTGTTGACAATACAGGCTTTTTTATGGTTGGAATAAATTGCATGCAACTGCATAATGACACATCATCCTTGAAAGGTTTTCTTAACAAAAATTGCAGGGGTTTCTGTTATGAATGTTCAGAGCTTAAGCCCCGACTCATTGTAGTCAAATTGATGCTTTGGCTCATTGTTTTAATGATTTCACTAATATTTTAGTGCAATATAAAATGTAAATTTTAATAATTTGTTAGAACATTTCACCTGGGGCAGTAATCCTAGTGTAAAATGAAGCATGTCAGGAGAAAAAAAAAGTAAGGAAAGGAAAGGGAAGAAAACGGCTGATTCTATGAAAGCCTTGGTTAGAAAAATGCTAGAAATGTTGCCAGATATTTGCATGAAGTGTTGGTATTGTTGACCCTTGCATATGGATGCTAAATGATGGTGCGATACAAACATGAAAACATGAATTGCAAAATAGACCTATAGAAATGACCTATTTGTGAAGCATGTATGGTGTTGGAATGGTAAGGAATGAATGTCTTGAGAGATGTATGTAAATGTTGATGAATTGAGAGATTGTAGTTACCATACAGTGATGATTTGGGCATATTCAGCAAATGGATGATGGGTCGACAGGTGATGTGTGTGATTGAATTTGAGGGTGGAGGACGAGTGGCAGATTGTGAACTGTGGAATGTCAGTGGACAGGACAGGGTGGGTGGAAGCAGTTTGTAACGTGTGAATGTACAGTACAGTATTTGTTCTTAAAAAAAGTCCTTCTCAATTAATCTTATCTGTTTCTGGAAAACTTAGATTGTGGATATTTGAAGAAAATTAAACAAATTTTAAATGTTTTCTATTGCCATTTATTTTGACACATAAGTACTGTACCTGTGATAGTATTTTAATAGGAATAAACCTTTTGAAATTCTTATTTGGTTCAAGTATCCCTTGCTGACTTGTTGGTACCTGTAGTGGATTGCATCTTGAGAAAGGTTAGTTGTTGGCTTAGGGAGGACCTTTGATAAGCCTAATAGGCTTCTAAAGCCTACTGTTCCTACAAATTAGAAAGCAGCATGGTAAACTACTCTCATAATTGATAGGGGTGGTATTGGTAATTGTTTGTTTTTATTCATTTGCTATATGGCATTAATGAAATTTGTAATACTTGTAACCTTTCACTAAAGTTACCTTTTTCCGAGCCAATTCCTTCCTCCCTCGTTTTATGCTGTTATTCTTTTATTTATTTTTAGATTTTGGAGGAAGAGAAGAAGCTCGCAGAGTTCCATGCCCAGCCGATGCCATACTTTGAAAGTGGAGTACGTGGTGTACCTACTAAAAAGCCTCCCACTCCTACTAAGCCTCAACCATTTGCCCTTAAAATTGATGAACGTGCTGTGACTAAACAAGAGCAGTTCCAGAAATGTTTATTGGAAGAAGCTAGACTTGATAAGGAAAAAAGGAAATTCCGTGCTCGTTCTGATGCAGTTTTGCACAAGGAACCATTTATTCCTGAAAAGTCAAAGAAACCTCTTACTGATATATCGACATTTGCTCTCAATACTGAAGTGAGAGCTATTGATCGAAATGAATATGAATTACATCGCAAGAGAAAAGAAGACGAAATATTGGCAGCCAAGAGAGAGGTGAGGCAGTTATTTTAGTTTTAAATTTCATAAAGCACTTGTAACCGTTTGGTTTAGCCGAGTTTGAATTACTGTCCTGTACCATACCTGTTTATGGCACTATTAATACTGCATGCTATATTTCAAACATATATATACATGTATAAAGTTTCTTACTGCCGTGTTGTCGCTTGTTAGATCCACAGTGGTTCAATCAAAGAATAAGTGTTAACATTTTCATGCATGTCTGAACTCCTGTAATGAAGGTTACTTTAAATTTAAAAAAAAAATCACAGCTGTGTACTCAATTGCAGCCAGCTATTTGGTAAAGATTTGTAATAAAATTTACTTTTTTGAGATTTAATGCAGTATTTTATGAATGCCACCAATATCTTGAAAAACATTGTTTAATCAGATTTTTAATATTTTTCAGCAAGAGGAAAGACAGGCTGCAGAAGAACTGGCAGAAGTGGCTCGAGTGCGTCGAGAAGCTGTCCATAAGGCAAATCCTGTACGTAAATATAAACCTGTGGTTATTGATCACTCGCAGAATGTGCCTACTGTTCCCATATCCCCTAATTTTGCCACCGAGTCAAGGCTACGAGGGCGGTCCAGGCCAGGTTCTGTGAACTCGACCATGGACAGTACATCGAGGACATTTGTGGCAGAATGATCAAGAGGATGACTTTAATTTAAAATATTATCACCATTTTATACCTTTTTTGCATTCACATATTGTAAGTTACTTGCATGATACTCTCATTTCTGTAGGTTTATTTGCTTACACAATGTGTATAGTCCATGTTCAGTTTGTGCATTGTGGAATTTATCAAATTAGACATATGGAAATGTTTTTGTTGCTGTAGATGATATGCATTTACACTACAATATTTTCCTTATTTTAATACTTTAATCCATTTTTTCATGTTATCGAGCCTGTTTTAAGGTAGTTTAATCAGAGCATTTAACTTATTTTCCTGTAAACTTCCTTCCTTATTACATATTTTATTTTTTATGAAAATAATTGATCTTATGGATAGTTTATTTTGAATGAAGGTAAAGTGTATAGCCCAATATATCCTATTTAAATTGTATTTGAACCTCCTATTTTTTAAATTTGATGATAGTTGAAACTAAATAACAATTTCATGATCAAAGGTGTTTGAAGTTGATATTTTGCCTTTTATATATAGAGGCAGGTTCAAGGTTTTAAAGACTGCTTGTTAATTCTTCATAAATTTGTATGTGGGTTCATAAGTAGTTTTTATAGACTGCTTTGGTTACCTTCTGCAGTGATATTTGTGAAAAAATGCTGACTGCACCTATTTGCCTAATTGGTATTTTAGAAACTTGTGATGCTAATAGGGAGGATGATGCCGGGTGCACAAGGAATGTTTTATAGCAGCATTACGGTTCAGGCAGATGATAATGATGACAGTATCATTGACTTTCAAATTCCAGTTCTTCTTTATCTGTCCTTCAATATGATTTAGTTGTATGGTCACTTAGGCAACCAAGTACAACTTTAGTTTTACTTTAGTATAATGTTTATAATTTTTTCCCCATCAGCTGTTCAGTTTATTGCAACTTTTTATTTAATGAATACTATGCTAAAATCTTCTCTTGCTTTCAATTTGGGTAAATGTGCAAACTACTTGCATAGCAACTACATTCCCTTGTCCAGTTCATTGAAAGTTGAAATTGTATTAGCTATTGTTAACCTTTGTGCTGGTTTGTACAGTACTTGGAAAGCTTCATTCCTACATAATTGTAATACAGTTCAACATATTTGTTGTTCTACATGGTGAAACGAAGTCATGAAGTGAGGTACTTTATTATTGGTAAAGTAGCTTTTTATGCTTTTTGATAACTACTTTTTATGCTTTGGTGTGTTGGCACATGCCATAGTTTTTAATCTTAATTACTTGCATTTGATTTTGAAATGTTGCTGCTTCCATCAGTAAATGGCTCTGAACCAAAATAAACTATTGAAAACTCTTTAGTAATAATACTGTAATGATAGCTATTTTTTGTAAATAATGTAGTAATGAGTATTATATTTCTGTGCATTCCTGATTGAACAACTTCATTGATACTATCCTGTCACATTCTATTTACTTGGTGTAGACTTGTCCATTTTGGGCAAAATAATCCTGCTTTCCCTCACCAGTTTACAGGTAACAGTACTTTTATTTAAAAACAAAAAACAAATAACAGCTGTATAAAGAAATAAACATACTGTATGTAATAATTTTTTTTTAACCTACCTTTGCAACAAACTCCTTGTCTTTTGACTAGTTGGTAAGCAAACTGGCTCTGTACTACAGAAACTTGTATACCATAGACTTTGCTGTATTGTATAGAACAAGGTATTGTACCAATACCTTGCTCCTACACCTTGGTGGGTCTTCCCAAGAGTGCCTTGTAGTGCGGGTGTTCGTGTATTACTCAGTGGGGTTATTGGGAGGGGGGTTGTCTTTGTCCCCTTTTCCAGGCATAGTTTGAAACAAATATTGGGCTCTTTGTTTGGGTCATCAGACCATCTGCTGGAAGGACTGCCTTCAAAGGCAAGTTAGGTGCCTAGACAGGTGAGAGGCAGAAGGGTCTTGTACCAGTGTGGTGTCCTACAATGCAGTAGGACACCAGTTAAAATGGAAGAACTCTTCAGACTAGTATTCCTTGGCTCTGCTCCCAAACTTTTGAAAAGATGTATATGGAAAATGATTCTCGCTCGCTTCTAGGGCAGACAACCTACCCCCATCATGGAAGATCGGGATCAATAGCCCTGGCTACAGCGAGCCCGAACCTGGGTATGTCTTTCACTAATCCTATTGACCCAACCATATTGGTGTCCTTAAATGAGTGCGGCTGCTGCCGCTAAGAAGGCTATTCGCACTTGTCCCATCTCCCTTAAAGGTGTTCCTTATTCTGACTTCTACCCAATTATTCATTCCTCAGTTGTTGCCCATTGGCAGGGTCGTTCTTCTGTTACTTGTAACAAATTGCATGCTCCAAGGGTAGTTTCCCACCATAACCGGGATGGGAAATGGCTCTGGCGAGATTACGTAAACTCGCAGGCACTTAATGGAGCACCACCTTGCTCCTTATTGTTCCTTTTACGGTTGTATATATCCTTATTGAATGTCTGGACTTCCAGGACGTGAGTGTCTTGCTTCCCGACCATACCTCAATTGAATTCTTGGTGAATCTGACACCTTTGATATCGTTCGCCTCGTGCTATTGTGTTCTCGTATTGGCACCCTTAGTGATATTTAGCATCCTATGAATGTCCCACACATCTGATGATGCTACATAGTCTTCCTGGCTTGGAGCTTTTTGATAATTACTTGCCCTATTAATCCTTCCTGTTCTTCTGCCACTATTGACATGGTCAAACAAAGTCCACCAGTGGCAACTGCCTCATCACCGGGAGTTACTCCATTTTTGGTTGTTAATTAAACTGTGCCTCTTACCCATTACTTTAATGAGACCACAGTGCTGTACTTAAAATTGAACTCTTGGTTTTCTCAACCACTGGTGGCCTAAATGTTTTTGATATCTTTATGGATGACCTTACCTTCCCTGATGATTTACACGTACAAGAGTACCTTGTTGATGGTGGATACCCATGTTAGCTTTAACCTTGGCTGGACCAGTGCATATCACTTAGGCCCCTTCTAAGCAGGTAGCCACCAGCCTAGCTGCTGCTTTGTCCTGTATTGGTATAGCTGTCTCATTGGCAGGACCCAGGTATGGGTTTCCAAATATGTCGAGTGAAATGGTTGAATTATGATAATCAATTATATATATTTACTATTATGGGTTAATTTACTTTTTAAATTGTCTTTAATTCTGATCCCTAGATCTTTGGTTGATCCCATGGATAGTGAAAGCCTGAGTGGAGAGCACTCTGAAGTTTTATGTTTTAAAGATTCATGACTATATGATTTACATTCGTACAGTTAGTACTTGATAACACCAGTTAATATTGTTGTACAGACAAGTTCCATTCCTTGTCTTATTACTTTTGAAGGATGGTAGCAGCACTTTCTAATTTCCTCCTTTCTACCTCTTTCCTTACCCTCCCATTTTCTCTCATTCTAAACTTAACCTTTCTCCTAACTACTCTTCTTCACTCCTTTCTTCCACCTCTCTACCTCCCTCACTCTACGAGTTTTCTTCCTTTCTTTCTCCAATTTCCAATATGTTATACTGTGGAAAATGTCGAGATCTGCAATATTGGCTAACCTAGGAGGATGAGAATTTTACTGACAATACATTTTTCAAAACATCCATAGCATTGCAAAAATTTATCCCCCCCCCAATGTAATTTTGTATCAAAATTTGCATAAGTGTGTTGTATCATATCACTAATGAAAATACATTATCAGAATGCTAAGGAAGCTTTAGGACCAATCATTGTGATACTAATAAAACATTTTTATTTTGGGGGGTCTATTATGTAATTATAACAAGTAATCAGTATTTAATTTATGACTGCTTTAAAGTCAAGAATAACTTGCACACTTTTCTCAACAAAAATAGTGTCTTCATTTTAAGAAATAATAAAACCCATTTTTTTTTAAGCTAGCACATCCTTGTACTTTAGTGCTTCTTAAATATATACAGTAAAATACATGTATGGTACACAATTTACTGAAGCAATGATGTACTGTACTATATTCTTAACCTGCTTGAAAAAACAAGTACTTGGAATATATCTTTAATACTCAGATTCCTAACATGATGCTTCTCTATGTAAACAGCAGGAAGGCCCACCACAAGCAGGTTTGATTTCCAATTGCAAATACAGTACGCTACACAAGTCTTGAATAATGACAGTATTTCCGAGTGGCCTAAGTACATTAAAATATGTATTTTTTTTCCAAATCATACAGCAATGCAATTCTCATAGATGCACTAAAGTAGTGTCTAGTAAAAAAATATAATTTTAAAGTCCTTGTAAAATTTCATATTAATGATATATGCACAAGTTTATATGGATGTCTTGTTTATAAAATATTTAACATTAAAGATTGTAAGTACACTGAACTTTACAAAAATATTATTGTACTACATTGCAATTTCTATAAGAAAAATGTGTGAATAATTATAACTAAACACTGTACTGTTATGTTCTTCAACCATAAAACATTACAGACAACTATATTTCAATTGTATACAGAGAAAATAGGTAATGAACTCCATTAAAAGATGACATTTCAGAATTCCTAACAGACGAAGTAATTATATACAAGCATAAAAATAGTCAATGACAGTACATTGAGGGGCATTTCAATTAATGCTGTAATTCACATGAAGGTAAAGAAATTTTAAAATACCAATTGCTGTATGGCTATGTAAACCTGAGAATACAAGGCCAAGGAAGAAGTGTTTACAGTTTCTGACCGAGCTCTAAAAAATATTAGATAATAAAATTATTCAAGTTTGACCTATGCAATTGTGATTTAGCATGTAATATCAATATTATACTATAAAAATGCAACCTATAAAAATTAACAAAAGTAAAAATGCATGCCTACTTACTGATTTCATTTTCTTGAGGCATGAAAGTACAAACATCCATATTTTTTGGCGGCAATTTTTTTCAGTTGCCCACAACTATGTACTAAACTGATATTTCATTAATAGGTCAAAATACTTCTAATACTGTATTCTATTATTGAGCCGTGCTCCAACATCTAATATCTTAAAATTAGAGACTTTTCCAAACCTAAATCATTAGATCTCCAAAGCTTCAACAAAATAATTCACCAGTTTTCAATAACCATGGTAAAAGTTCCTTTTTATGGTACCTAGTTTTCCAATTTGCTGTACCATGATTTATATACAGTACTGTACTAGACTGGAGTCATTAACAGTTCACAAAGTGAATATTGCTCAACAATAATATTTTTTAGCCAAACACCTGTAAAATATCAACACACATCTATTGGTTAATTAAATACCAAAGTGGGCAGATGACTGCGCTCGTCTAGGTGTGCCAATATCATATACCTGCTGGCGGCGTGATGACTCTTGCTTGCGTTGCCTTTCCTCAGCCCGTGCCTTCAGGGTACCTTGGGCCCGGTCCATTTCAGCCTCCATGGCAGCCTTGTGTGCCAAAGCCTGGCGACGTTTTTCCATTCGTGATGCACCACCTTCGTTGATACTATAAAATTTATCTCCGACTTCAGCCAGCCAACCTCCTTCTACAGCAGTTACACACTGCATGAATTCCTTGCTTGTCATGACCAACTCATGGTACACAATATAATCAGGAGTATAGCCCATACCAAACAATGCTGAGGTTGGGTGCAGGTGGCATGGTGTCCCTGTCCTCAGGTTGACATATTCCCCAATACCTTTCAAACGGCATGCTTGGTGAAAGTAAGCTGCACAAATGCATTTACGCACCAAATCCTCATCCATACCACAGCTGACTACTACTAGTTTTTGTTGGTCCATGATATCATGGAGCTGCTGTCTCACCTCTCTTACTTTTTTTAAGGCTTTAAAGTGTAAGAAGTGTTTGTTGCACCAGTTCATGGAATACTTCTGAAGACGCCACTGTCGATAGATGTTGAGATACGTCAGGTGATCAGACTCGGGCACTTGAAACTTTTCTCGCATTGCATCAGCCTCTTCTTCACGGCCCTTGGGGCGGTAAAATAATGCTGGCACTGATAACATAGATACTATAGTCAAGATTTCTTCAGAACAATGCATTTCCACACCAGCTAGCAACATCTTGGAGAGTGCTGGATCCAAAGGAAATTCAACCATTGCACGTCCTAATTTGGTTAGAACTCCTGTATTATCCAATGCTCCAAGAGTCCATAGCTGATACTGTGAATTGAGTAAGTTGTCTTGTGGAGGAGGATCCATGAAATGGAAAACAAGAAGGTCTTCAACTCCCAGCGACTTAAGAAGAAGAACAACATTGGCTAGATTGGTACGCTGAATTTCAGGGACTGTTGTAGGTAACAATTCATCTTTATACTGCCGTTCTGTATAAAGACGATAGCACATGCCAGGACCAGTGCGACCTGCTCTCCCAAGACGTTGGTTGGCATTAGCTTGTGAAACTGGGTATACCTGGAGGCCATCCATACCTACCCGTGGATTGTATACCTTTAATTTACAGTATCCAGAATCTACCACATACTTAATACCATCTACAGTGAGTGAAGTTTCAGCAATATTGGTAGCCACAACACATTTTCGAAGACCATCTGGTGCACGCTGAAAAATCTTTGCTTGTAAATCAGATGGAAGCTGTGAGTATATGGGTAGCACAGCCAACTGTGGGGCATTATCAATCTCATCCAACTTTTCAACAATTAGTTCGCAAGTTACCTCAATATCTTCTTGACCTGGCATGAAAACTAAAATATCACCTTCTTCAGCTTGAAGGTGTATCTGCAGTGCCTGTTTCACTGCTGCCTCCACATAGTCTTCCACTGCATTGCGGGAAAAGAATAACTCCACAGGGAAAGTTCTTCCTGGAATTGTAAACACAGGTACTTCACCAAAGAAAGTGGCAAACTTCTGGGAATCCATTGTAGCAGACGTAACAATAAGTTTAAGATCCTGTCTACGAGCCACAACTTCACGGAGTAAGCCAAATAATACATCGGTATTAAGAGAACGTTCATGAGCTTCATCCATAATGATTGCACTATAATTGTCTAATTCGCTCTCACGCAAAGATTCACGAAGTAGTATACCATCAGTCATATATTTAATAATGGTATTTTCACTCGTGCAGTCTTCAAACCGAATGGCATAACCTACCTCTTCTCCAAGATGAGTACCCATTTCATCGGATACACGCTTGGCAACAGACATGGCTGCTACACGACGTGGCTGTGTGCATCCTATCATACCTAGTGTGCTGTAGCCTTCCTCATGAAGATACTGTGTTAGTTGTGTTGTTTTTCCACTTCCTGTTTCACCTACAATGATTACCACAGAGTTTTCTCTAATGATACGGAGAAGCTCTTCTCTTACCGCAAACACTGGAAGGTACTGACGTTGTTCTCTGAATGTTTTCTTTCTTGAAAAGTCACTACTAGCCTCACTTGCTACCTTCATGTGTTCTGCAAATTTCTGATCAGCTTTGTAATCAGTTTCTCCCTCTTCAATCTTTCTATCATCAGTCTCATCCTCTTTTTTGACACCTATAAGATTGCCAAGTTGTGTTCCTGCAAGTTCCCACTCCTTTTTTGCAGCTTTTCGCCGTTCTCGCTGCTCACGCCGTACTTTAACAACTGCAGAGCCTTTTCTGGATACAATAGCCATGTCAGAAGTGGAGTCCTTCACAGGAATCACTGGTTCTGGTTGCTTTGTAAATACAATGCGTCCGTCCAAGAATGGTGGGACAATATTGTGTACCAAAATATGTACACGATTAGTAAATTCTTCTTCAAAATCTTCATCATAATCAATTTTTTGTACAACACCACTTGTTAACATTCTGTTTGTTTCCCATAATTCATTATCTTTGTGAATCTGTCTCTGTTTAGCACTCATCTTTCTTTTACTTTTCTCAATCTTTTCTGTTTTTTTTCTCTCATATTCAGCAGACACATCAGAAAATGGGTTGTTAGTGTCATCATAGCCTTGGTCCATGTCATACCACTGTCGATCTAATCTCTTTTCCTCTTCTTCCCACTTCTCCCGCTCTTCCTCATTTTCAAATTCTCTCTCTTCTCTCCCTTCCCTTTCACTCATCCATGCATTATATTTGTATGAAGGTGTTGGAAGTGGAGTTCTGTCACCATATTGATAGGACTTTCTATTTGGAGATGCATCTCTCACAGACCGGTTACCACTGCGTATAGACCAATCAATATCTCGAGATCGGCGTTGGGATGAAGAGGGTGTGGGCAGATCCCATGAAGATAACTTTGATGGTGTACCATCATCATCATCCCAAGATGAGTGAGAAGGTGTATCTTTCACACCCGGGATCCTAGGAGTCTCTGGGGCCTCAGAAAACCTTGGTGTTCTATCGGATCTCTCTGACCAGTCTTGGTCTATCCCCCCCGATCTTTCTGATCGGTCACCTCGTCTCTCACTTCTTTCACTTCTATCATTAAAATCTCTCCTGTCACTTCTTTCTTTGTAATATTTATCCCAGTAATTATCCCTATGCCTATGCTGATCTTTTCTGTCTCTTTCATTATCTCTACTTTTTCTGTCCCTGTTCTCATCACGATCCTTTGGGTCGCCTTCTTTTTCCCGTTTTTTTTCTTTTGTTGATGCTTTAACATATTTATCTCTAATTTTCCTTTGTTTTTCAATAATTTTATCTTTAATTTGCCTGTTCACTCCACCTGTATATGTTGGCGTCTCATCATACCTGGAACGATACTCCCTCTCTTTTCCTTTACCTATATTGATGTCCTTTATTTGTCTCTCTCTGTTGCTATCACCAATATCATTATCATCATCATCATCATCATCATCATCACTGTCCGAGTCACTTGAAGACGAGTGCTTTCTACTCTTCAATTTACTTTTCTCAAAATTTCCATCTTCACGAATTTTCCTCTTGAGAGCTGCAAGCTTGTCCAAACCCAAGACAGATCCTCGTATTGGAATAGCAGGCTTTTTAAACTGAAAATCATCGTTTTCCTTTTTGGTTTTGCGAATTATGAGACCACCAATGCCACCACTTGATCCTTCCAGAATATGAGACATTATCACCTGCAATATACAAAATAATTTACTCAGGTACTCTATTAAAGTACTGTATAATAAAGTAATCATGCATTTGTTCAAGAGCCTTGGACTATCATACACTTTACATAATGCAATACACCCTATAGACATTATCTAGTCAATTTTGAACTGTTATATAGGCTTGAATTTAATTTTAAGGGGTTTGTGTTGCATGGTACTGTCCATAAGAATATTGTCTGTGATACAATATTTTGTTCAAGTATTTGAATCCAGTAAAAAATAAAAATCAGCAAAACTTAATTTTTAATTTATACAAATTTAATTTCATGGTTGTAAAAAAAACAGTATTGAATGTAATGAAATGCATCTTTCTGGAAGAGCCCCAGTGGCTCCTTGTAGCTATCACGCCAAGATTGCTCCAATCTACCAATCACATCAGTTGCAAGCGTTCATTTGGCCTTCCAGGGGCTGGAGTCAAAACCTGGCCCCTTCACATGTTGCGCAGGGAGCAAATGACATTCTGTCATTTCACTGGAAAAGATTCCATTAAGTCAGCGAAGCTTTACAGACAACTACTGGGTTCACAAGACTCAAAAACTACTAAACTGCCAAATAACTCCCCAAACAATATACAGTAAATACAAAGGAAAACAAAAAACTAGCTAGAGCTTTTATTAAGTACCAAATCCAGCAACCAGGCAACCCAGCTCTCAGTCCAGTGTCAGCTATAAGATCAGTTCAAGAACAGATAAACATTGCAACGAACTGCTGAACAAGGAAGGGGAGAGAGAGACAGGGAGCCACTGTGAATCTATCAGAAATATGCATTTCATTACATTCAATGCTGGGTTTCTTGGGGTAGCCCCTGTAGCTAAATAATCACAGAGAGAGAAGAAAAAGAAGAGAGGCTTACCAGAGAGGAGAGGCAGCAGACACTCTATCGAAGTAGACCAACAGCCAGGAAACATGACCCAGGGCAACACAGGACCAAAGAGGACAGGGACAATAACTAAATACCTGGCAGATACCTTGTTAGTTGGCCAAAACCCCCAAGCCCAAATATCTGCCCAAGATATATTAGAAAAGACCACAGTGAGTGCAGCATATCTGCAAACATCATGGGCCTGGGGACAGACTATGGGTTGGCTAGCCTTAATACTGCGGACATGAGAAACATATGCCTTGTAACAGGAGGCTAAGGAGACTAGATCAACCCAGAGAGCATCCGCTGAAGCAGAGGTGGTTGCACACAGGTAGCGAATAATAGCTGCCACCAAACACAAAACCAATGATGCACCCCTGGCTGAACTGATCAAGCATCAATAACCAACACTTCTGAAAGTCCACTGACTCGTTCTTTACCAAAAAATAGAGAGAATTGCAAACATCAATATGAATTACATAGTTTATCAGTATTGTGTGGCCTGTGTTTGCCCCTTGGTCAGTCTACGTTGCCTGGGTGTCCAAATATTGGCGATTGTTAGGTATTCTTTATTCAACTATATCTTAACATTCATGCAAGATATATTATTTAAATTCAGTCACAATATGATATATGACAAATTGGATCACACAAATGGACAAGTAGACCACACAACACATGAACCATATTAACCATAAAGGGAGCCGGTCGGCTGAGCAGACAGCACACTGGACTTGCGATCCCGGGCGCCGGCGAAAAACAATGGGCAGAGTTTCTTTCACCCTATGACCCTGTTACCTAGCAGTAAAATAGGTACCTGGGTGTTAGTCAGCTGTCACGGGCTGCTTCCTGGGGGTGGAGGCCTGGTTGAGGACCGGGCCGTAGGGACACTAAAAAGCCCAGAAATCATCTCAAGATAACCTCAAGATAACCAAACACCAGCCAGACTGGTCCACACAACAAGTGAACCATATTAGCCAAACACCAGCCAAAGTGGTCCACACAACAAGTGAACCATATTAACCAAACACCAGCCCGACTGGTCCACACAACAAGTGAGCCGGTCGGCCGAGCGGACAGCACGCTGGACTTGTGATCCTGTGGTCCTGGGTTCGATCCCAGGTGCTGGCGAGAAACAATGGGCAGTTTTTTTTCACCCTATGCCCCTGTTACCTAGCAGTAAAATAGGTACCTGGGTGTTAGTCAGCTGTCACGGGCTGCTTCCTGGGGGTGGAGGCCTGGCCGAGGAGCGGGCCGCGAGGACACAAAAAAAAAAAAAAAAAAAAAAAAAAAAAAGCCCCGAAATCATCTCAAGATAACCTCAAGATAACCATACTAACCAAACACCAGCCAAAGTGGTCCACACAACACATGAACCATATTAACCAAACACCAGCCAAAGTGGTCCACACAACAAGTGAACCATATTAATCAAACACCAGCCAGAATGGTCCACACAACAAGTGAACAACTGAGTTTCAATGATTTTCGTTCACTTATTTATGGCACACCTATCTTTGTAAATTAATTTAAAGGCTGAAGTGTGAGAAGCTAGCTACATGTGGTGGAATCTCCTTATAGATATTTTCTGTGATGAAACAACATGAGTGAGGGTGGAGAGATATAGGGAACACTGTACTGTAAACCTCACTTGGTTTTCCTTCGATGTGTCGTCATAGTTCAGCGATCCATGACTGTGAAAGTTTCAGATTAATAAATCTTTTCTAAAACAGGTGTTTTAGTAGATTTTTATTATCCCAATTATATTTCTAAACCAAATATAAAATAAAAATATACTGTAATATGATAAATAATTTCTCAAATAGCAGATGTCTATGTTACTGGCTCTAGCTTTCAAAACAACTCAAGCACGGGTGGATTTGTCTATTCCTTGTACACACAGCACGATGTGCTTTTCGTTCGAATGTCGCTACAGTTCAGTGACCTACGACCTCGAAATGATAAAATTAATAAATCATTTCTAAAATAAGTACTGTACTTTCATAGCTCTTATTATCCTAATAATTTTGCTAAACTAAATATATAACCCCAAAAATATATATGATATAAATCCAATATTTGAGAAAAATTTATGTTACGGGATCTCGCTTAAACTTCAGCCTACTGTAGGGTGTACAAACCTAGTTCCTCTATGTAAGCTGGCCATCTGCCTGGCCAAAACGCCCGCACGAATAGCCGCCCATCCGCCTGCTCAAAGCCCGAATAGCCACCCATCTGCCTGCCCAAACCCACCCAGCCCACCCGAATAGCCGCCCATCCGCCTGCCCAAATCCATCCAAACCCCACACGAATAGCTGTCCATCCGCCTGACCACCAGTCAGCCACCAATCCATTTAGCCACAATGATGTAATTGATGTTTAAAGATGAACATTCCCAATTTTTGAGCTAGTGAAGAATGGTTGGAAAGATTTAAGAATAGGCATAATATTAACCCTTACACTGCTACAGCCTGGGCTGTAAATGGGGGTATAAGCTGGGGCTGGACAAAAATATATTTGAATTATGTGAAAATTAATATTAAATGTTAAAAATATCTCCAACTTATTGGCTTTAGCTTCGTAAAAGTTTCATCCCAATATTTTCAGAAATGGATTTTAGACAACTTTTTTAAAAAAGAAGAATGTTTTGTTGATAAGGGGAATAGCTCCTATCAACTAGAACTGAGGGATAATGCAGTAATAAAGAGATGCAAGCACCTGTCCGATGCACAAAGAAGAAGAATACCTGTGCCTCTCGGAGGGAACCATGTTCTGGCTAGTAGTCCCTGGTAGACATGACAACTCCACATGACTAAAGACCCATCCTAATATTAGCTAATATCAGTCCAATAGCTCCAGGAAGCCGACGGGGTCCCCCATAGAAAAAATAAAAAAGAGACAAGCCAATGGCATCACACCTTCTATCCCAGCTTTAGTGGTGAACTGATGTGTCTTGGAGCGCTCTAGAAAGTTGTGAACTTGTGATCCAGTGCCTTTATGGACCTAGGAAATGGAGAAGGGCTGCATGAGTGAAAGGAGATTTTGTGCTATGTTCGCAGAAACTAAGAGTGAGGATAATGGACACGACGATTCTGGTAGCAATGACAAAATTGAAAAAAGGGCAAATATTCATAGACAGTTAAGAGATAGTGACAGTGACAGGGAAACCACAACCAAAGAAGTATAGTGATCGAAGACAGATGGGGACCAGAGTTTCAAAGTGTTATACAATCTCAGAAGGAAAATCTCACCAGAAGGATGCAATAGGACCACACACGGCAAGAGGAACAGATTAATGGAAGGAAGTGGCCCCTTGACATGTCAACTGAATTTTCATCAGAAATTGGAGTGGATAGTTCAGTTGGCCAAGGAATTTGGGGAATATGAACCGTTATTTAATGAGGGTATTTACCACCCCTACATAAAAGTTGGGGCAGAAGAGGCAGTGGGACAACTACTGACTAACAGATTTAATAATATTGTTCTCATTACCCCTGAAGCAGGAATAATTTATCCTAAGGTTATCGTTTTTAAGAATCCGACATACAGTGGAACTCTGGTTGACGAAATGCCCGTCTTTACGAATTTTTCGGCATACGAGGTCTATTTCCTCATAAAATTTGATGCTGTATTTGAGGCTTGCCTCGGTTGTCGAGTTTGTAGATACATGTATGGGTCGACAAGCACATGGTCCTGCTGGGCGCGGAGCGAGGCACCCTCAGTTTACCAGTGTATCCTGCCAAGTGACGACAGCGCTTGAATTCTTTGTGAAGAATTTAATTGTTTACCTGCTTTTTTGGTTTCTGAACATAAAAGTTCTTATTATATATCATGCCATGGGTCCCAAAAAAATCATGGTAAAGTTCAAGCTAAGAAAATAGTTCTGAGGATCATGAATGAGGAAAAACAAGAGATCATTCATAGTGAATGAATGTGATGCCTCGCTACAGACAAGTGTTAAAACGTAGGGAAAAACCAGTGTCTTTAGACAGATTCTTAGTAAGACAAGGAAGCAGTGAGCCACAACCAGGTCCTAGTGGTATGCCTGCAAAACACAGGAGAGAGAGAATCCCATAATGTCATGACTGCCTGATGTTATGTTATAATGGAAGGGGACTCCCCCTTCCAAACTAACATTCTCTCTCTCTCTCTCTCTCTCCCCCCCACCCCTCCCCTCCTCACCACCTTCCATATGCCAACAAGAGTCCTAAATAAAGGTACGGTACCTATGAGTAGTACTGTGTAAAAATGTATTAAGTAGATATATTTGGGTGTGTGGAATGGATTAATTCAATTTACAATATTTCTTATGGGAAATTTGCATTCTGTTTACGAATTCTCTGTTTACGAACCGTCTCTTGGAACGGATTAAATTCGTACACGAACTTACCACTGTACAGTGTACCCTAATCCTGAATTTCTTTTTCTCATCAATGAAAGTGTTGTGTGGGCTAATGGGTACAATGTATGTGGTGAAAAATAAAGCCAGATTGTTGCCTTGTTAAAGGGCGAGGCTCCAAAAAGACTGTGCAAAGACTTCCTTCCTTCCTTGAGCGTCCTTGAGGTGATTCCAGGGCTTAGCGACCCTGCGGCCCCGTTGTCGACCAAGTCTCCTCGTTGCTGAACTGGTCAACCGGGCTGTTGGATGCAGCTGTTCGCAGCCTGACGTATGAGTCACAGCCTGGTTGATCAGGTATCCTTTGGAGGTGTTTGTCAAGTTCTTTCTTGAACATTGTGAGGGGTCGGCCAGTTATACCCCTTATGTGTATTGGAAGCGTGTTGAACAGCCTCGGGCCTCTGATGTTGATAGAGTTCCCTCTCAGAGTACCTGTTGCACCTCTGCTTTTCAATGAGGTATTCTGCACATCCTGCCATGCCTTCTGGTCTCATGTGATGTTATTTCTGTGTGCAGGTTTGGGACCAGCCCCTCTACTATTTTCCATGTGTAAATTATTATGTATCTCTCCCGCCAGCACACAAGAGAATACAGATTTAGGCTCTTAAGTCGGTCCCAATGGTTTAGATGCTTTACTGAGTGGATTCTAGCAGTAAAGGATCTCTGCAAGTTCTCCAGGTCAGCAATTTCTCCAGCTTTGAAAACGGCTGTCATTGTGCAGCAGTATTCCACTCTAGAGAGCACTAGCGTCTAGAACTTGGATACAGGAAAGTGGCAAAATATACTCAGGAGCCTACACTATGCATGAAGTGTTCTCGCTGGGAACATATAGCTTTGAAATGCCAGTTTGACCCCAGATGTCGGTATTGTAGTAAGAAGCACGACTCATGAGTGTAGTGTCAGGGTTGGAAAAAGGAGAAGAATTTTTGCCATCTTGCAGCAATTGTCAAAACATTCACAATGCTGGTTCCTCTATATGTCCCATGAAGCCCCATGTAAAAGATTCCAAATCGGCACTCACAATCAGGGCAAATAAAGGTCTGAAGGAAGGCAAAATCATACAGCAGAAACCCAGAATAAACAGATGAGCAACAAAGATGGCCCCTGTAACCAAAGTTTGGGAGAAAGGAATAGTGACGACTAAAGCTAGCCTAGTGGCAGTAGGAAACAAAACCGAAAAAGTGCACCCTCATAGTGATGAGGTGCAGGACAGCGTCATGAATTCTGAGGTTAGTACACAGATCTTGGAACACCTCAAAAAGTTGGCCACGAGGATTGAAGCACTAGAAAAATTAGCTACGGCAGACAGATGGCATGTAGTTGAGAGTGAAGTGGGGAATGAAACAGAGGGGGAAGAAGGTAAGTAAGAGGATGGAGTATCACGGATGGAAGAGTCTCATGAAAATTATCTATCCTCTAGTGATGGCAGTGTTCAACCCAGTGTGGTGAAAAATGTTGAAACAAAAGCTCAGGAAAAATGGTTTATAAAATAGAAGTTGAATACACAGTTAAGAATAGCATTACATTTGACTGTAGTGGGTGAACAAGTCTTGAGCAAGAGGCAGTATTAAAATGCTGAGAGCCTATGTCCAAGGCGCTATTACTTCTCAGTCAGATAGCGGCAAATTTAAAAGTCTGAAAACTTGTCAAGGAAGAAAATAGAGTGAATAATCACCAAATATATGTTACATTCCTACTATGTTGGTGTCAATTGTTTCTTTGACAATGCAATACATTTTTGAAAGACATCATATTTTGTAACATTAGAACATAAGGATCTCATATATGCCATTTTATTATACTTTAACATGCATTGTTCATTTCTTTCTGCCCTTTGAAGTGAGAGGATTAATTCATTAGCTCCTTCACCTCTCAGTAATCCAATTGTTGAAGCTTTATTTATCTCTGAAATTTTATCCCCAAGACTAAGTTAAATTCCATCCTCATTATCTCATTCAAAGCATTTCATTGGCATCCCAAGATTATTCTGATTTTTTCCTCCAACTAGTTTGGTCTACCTTTATCAAAACAAGAAATGACAGGTGCACCATACCCAATAAGAGCTCTCAGTGATTACTATTAGAATGTAAAATGTAAAATATGATTAATATTTGGGTACTATGAGTTTGTGAGCCCCTTGAGGGACATTAAATAGACGAGGGTAGACATAGCCTAAGCTTCTCTATCCATTTTAGATGTAGTATTTCATTATCTCGATACCTGGAGCATACCTGGAGTGTGTTTCGGGAATTCTTCTACTCCCCGAGCCCAGCTTGAGGCCCAGGCTCGTCTTGTGAAAACTTGGTCCAACAGGTTGTTGCTTGGAGAGGCCTTCAGGCCCACATATCCACTACAGCCTGGTTGGTCCGGCACTTCTTGCAAGAACCTGTGCAAGCGCCTCTTTAATTCAACCCATTTTGCATCCACAAAATATTGTGTGGAAATGTTGCATCCACCTTCGTTTCGGCAATATTTGTAATGCTTACTGGAAAGATGTTGTGGTTCTATTCTATAAACTTATTTAAATCACACCTTACAGAGTAAAAATTTAATTTTCATTTGGTTAGGATAAGATATAAGATAGATTGGGTTTAAATAAAGCATGTATACATAGCAATGACATTTAATTAAATTTGTTATAAATTTCTCAAACCCCACTCACAGTTACAGATATTTACTTTACAGTATTTTTAAGTCCTACAATTTTTTAATGAACAGAACAAAACTGAACCTAATGGGTGAATTAGCAGGCGAAAAAAAAAAACTTGCCAGGAAATCAAATGAAGAGAGGAAAAAAAAAAAGCAAAACAAAGGCAACAAATACGGAATTTACGGTACAATACACTCAAATTAGTAATGGAGTATCCCATTTCACAAACCTTTCCTACACAGAGTATGGACATTCATAAAACCACTGACAAGACTCACTAAACACTACTATAAATAGAAGTATAATCACTAGATTGCCGTTTAATGGTGCATTAAATAAGAGGAACCGTGAGCCTGCAAACTAAGCCTTTACCCTTTGCTGGAGATGTTGGGCAGAGGGCAGCCAGGTGGAGGAGGTGCAGACCCGTGGTCACAGTCGCCCATCACCAAGACAACCACAGAAAGACGAGAGGAACACCGTGTTCACCCACTTTGTTACCAGCCACACTGAAGCGTCATCATCCTGCCGAGGCCAGCTTCACATACGCCAGGACGACTCCCCCCCCCCCCACCTTACACCCAAAATACCAACACAAAACACTAAATCCCATAAGCCCCCAAAAATCAACACTTCATAAAACACACACAACACATCACAAACTGACAATTGTTAACAAAAACAAACACTTATTAGTTTTTAATGTTGAGAGACTAAAATCTCTTAAATAAATGCGGAACCCAAACGTTTGAAATGAAAGTTTTACTGTATGTTGTTGAGTTACGGGCGACGACGATCGTGGGATCGGATGCGCCCAGTTTTACTGTATGAGAACGAGTTTATAATGCCCCCCCCCCCACACACAACACAAATAATAAACAAAGCTGGGATACGTGCCCATTGTAATTATAGCTTCAGTGATTTTATTTTATTTTATTTTATTTATATATATATATACAAGAAGGTACATTGGGATTGTGAGGATACATAGCATAGTAATTACATTCTTGTAAAGCCACTAGTACGCGCAGCGTTTCGGGCAGATTCTTGACATCACGAACACTTGCTTGACCTGGTACAGGACTCCTTTCTCATATAATATGTGACGGAGCCCACCCGAGGTTAATTTAGTTTAGTTCATTTATTATGCACCCCATACCCATCCTGTGAGCGGTAGTGAAAAGTGTTAGAGGCATATAATGGGCTCAGGGACTGAGCCCCACAATTCATATAGGTAAGCAAGCTCTGCAATTACTTTATTCACTCTCGTATTCTTGAAGATATCCTCACAGTGTACCCAAAATTTGCCAGTGCCGGCTACTAAACATATAGCCCTGTATGACTAACCATCCTGCGAGATGGGGACTTTTATTACCACTGCTACCTTATTCAATCTTGTGTTGATATCCTCAAAATGCATCCGGAGTCTGCCAGTGCAGACTGCTTATCACATGCCTCTATGACTAACCATCCTGTGCGATGGGGATTTTTTAGCATCACCTAGTTAGCTTTTTTTTTTGACACTGTACTCCACTTCATATAGTCTAGGGTAGCTGCACTAATGCAGATGTACCTCATATCTTAAAACAAAATTTATGAGCTTCAACGTACAAGATCAACGTCCAGTTTCTGACCAGACATTGATCTTTGGTTATCTCATGGTGGTGTTTTGGCTGAAACGCTGTGCATATTTGTGGCTTTTAGGCATAATATGTACCATCTATAAATCCAACATTATGTTTGTAACTCATCTTGTACGTATGTACTTTTACCTAAATAAACATTTGGTTTGATGGAATATATCTCATTCGGTTATACATGGATAATTCCGTTATACCTCATGGTTGCATTATTCGGGTATACCTCATGGGTGCGCCTGTTTCGGCACATCCGTGAGGTATAACCTGCAATTGTAGCAAAGTTCTCAGAGTCCTATCATCAAGAAGTGTGTCTAGCACAACAACCACATCAGGACGATGATTGTTCACAAAACTGAGTTAGTTTTTTTTTAGTTTAGTTCATTTATTATGCACCCCATAACCATCTTGTGGGCGGTAGTGGAAAGTGTTATAGAGGCACATAATGGGCTCGGGGACTGAACCCCACAATTCATTTAGCTAAGCAAGTTACAATCTTGATGAGCTAGTTACAAAATTCAATATAAGTCGTCACATCAACAATGGGTTCGAGATCGACCTCAAGTACAGGTTCTAAATTAAGCAACTGACATATGTGGAGAGCTAGTGTCAAAATTTATATGTTTGTCCTGCACACCGCCCCCCATCCAGTGGGCAGCGGTGGATAGGTTACAATCACTCAGTTACTCCCTACAGTTAGCAAACTGGGGATATTTAGCTAAAATTTCTGGTAGCAGATCATTTTGAATGAAATATTTACACATCGCTGGAACATTGGTTATAGAATTGTCTAAATTCACGTATCTTTTTGCACTCCATCACATAGTGACGGAGGGTCTTCGCAGCAAAGGCAGTACGAATATAGACCAAGTTCACCAAGACATCAGTCGTGCTGGACACTTGCTGAAGCTAAGTTGAGAAGGGGAGGGGTGGTGATAGCGTTCCAAGAACCATATCAGGAGGACATTAACCATACATTCAAAAAGCTTGCAGATGCCACTCGTTAGGGCAATGGGGCGAAAGTCCTTAATGGATGTCCCTAAAGAACCCGATTTCCGAATAGGAAGAACAACCGCCTCAAGCCAGTCCTCGAGGACTGACGAGTCCCAGATACTGTTATAAACACTGTAAATACCGAAATATACACGGAGGGAGATTGCGAAGCATCTCAATGAATCTTAGCCCGCTGCGGTAGAACACAGAGGATCAGGGCAGACTGGCGTTCCGAGAGAGAATCTTTATAGGATAAAGATTCATTAAAGATATGCGAAAAAATCTAAGGAACAAAGTTATATATATAAGAAAAGGGCTTACGAGTAAGGAAGTGAGGAAGATGAAAACCGGAACTAACAGTAAAAGTGTGAACATAGTTCGGAGGCGACCACCACCAGATCCGCCACAACACAACCACGGAGGTGAAGGACTGGCCAGACATCTGGAACAAACTTACCCGCTATCTTGCCGATTTTCTTCCAGAGCGGGGGGGGGGGGAAGAGTGGTCAGTTGTAATGGAGAAGGAACAAGGAAAAAAAACGCGCAGAGCCCGAGCACAGTCTGCATCCCACCAGGGAACGAACTTCAGCGTTACCTTACCTTGAGGTTACCTTGAGGTGCTTCCGGGGCTTAGCGTCCTCGCGGCCCGGTCGTCGACCAGGCCTCCTGGTTGCTGGACTGGTCAACCAGGCTGTTGGACGCGGCTGCTCGCAGCCTGACGTATGAGTCACAGCCTGGTTGATCAGGTATCCTTTGGAGGTGCTTATCCAGTTCTCTTGAACACTGAGGGGTCGGCCAGGGACGGAGCGAGGAACAGAGTGGAGGGCAGTGTCGAATACCATCATGAAAGAGGTGGTGATCTCTAGGGAGAGGCAGATCAGAGGTCAAAGAGTAGCGTGTAGGGTGAATAGATAGTCAGCTTTGGCAAACTGCCACCTAGTGAAGGAGAAAGTAGGGTGAAAAAGAGAAGGCGACAGGGATGGGAAAAATGGTCACTTATGGAGGTCACAAAGAACCTGCCACATGAAATCTAAATAAAGAGAAGACTAGCAGAAGGGAAGGGAACTATCAAGAGAAAGCGCCGAGCCAAGACGAGCAGAGAATGATCAAGACAGGAAAGTGAGCGAATGCGCGAGTTAACACGAATGCGTTTACCAGAGTTCAGAAGAGACAAGATAACAAACGGCGAATCATCCCACAATAAATGTTTCAAGGCGGCGGCCCCGGGTGTTGGTCAGAGCATCGCCCATAGAGAGTATGACAATTAAAAATCACACAAAAGGAGCACAGACTCCGGTAAGGAGTCCAACAGGTGTTCAAGATTAGGAAGAGAAAGTGGGACATTTAGGGGAAGATAAATGGAACAGATTGTGTACCATTTACTCAGAGGGCCGTTTACCATTTATATTCAGGGCCGCCGAGCCCTCTGTGCGACTGAGAAAGAAGACTTTTTACAATAACATGGCTGAAATATGTTGACCAAACCACACTAGAAAGTGCAGGGACGACGACGTTTTAGTCCGTCCATTCTCACAATCTACTTTAGAATGGTTCAGGACGGACCGAAACGTCGCCCCTTCACTTTCTAGTATGGTTTGATCAGCTTAAGCATATCAGTAGTGCAGGTCCTATAATATAGTCCAATTCTTCTGGCCGTGTGTTTTAGTACATGTAACTTTGAATTAATACAATAGACAATTGTATTACCAGTTTAAGTTACGTGGCCTGGACTATGGAGAAGTTCTATGAACCGTTCGATAGTATTTTAGAGTTCATCGTTAAAAGCTTCAACTGAAGCAGGCTCAAAGGAAGTGTGATTCTTACATTTAACAACAAAATTGATCGATGGGCACAGTCAGCCTCTCTGCTTTAACATTCCGCCAGGATAAATTAATTAATATTAATGATTAACATCTTTATTGACAAGTTTTACAATTTTGCCTAATCCAAGCAATTCAATTAGGCGTTATTAGTGAGGATAATGCCGGTATTCACTGTCAAGACATAGGATCATACACAAGACAATAGGTCTAAGATTGTAGGCTGAAGCACAGTTACAATCAAGTGCATTAGACAGTATACGTAAGTATTCGTAAGAAATGCAGCTTAAAATAAAATTGGTCATTCTTTAAAATGGACAAGCAAATTTATGGTAAATTGTTAGGATGTCATCCAGTACAAGTTATATAAAAATATTAAGGGGCAAAATTAGGTACACAGCAATGCGCTGCTACCCTATTTTATAGGATATATTACACAGTGTAGATCAAGAGCTAGCTATAGGTTTAACCATTATTCCCATCTCGCAGGATGGTTAATCATGCATGGAATTGGGGGAGGTAATACCCGCCATAATACAAAAACAAACCAGCTCTGACTAATCAGCTGGCTGTAAGTTAATCTAATATTACCATCTCACAGGATGGTTAGGCATACATGGAAATCAGGGGACAATACCTGCTTCAATACAAAAACAAATCAACCGACTAAAAATCAGGCGAGAACAAATGTAAGGCACACATTATGTATTTATTTATATACAAGAAGGTACATTGGGTTTGAGTATATAGCATGGAGTTTACATTCGTGAGTACATGTGAGGTACATTCTTGCAAGGTTCGTACTAGCAAAATCTGGGTACAGCACAAGAATATCTTCCAATATTCTTGAATGTATGAACAATTAAATAGTTACACAGTTGGTGGTACAATAGGCCAGGAAGTAATTCTACAGTTTCACATTCAACAATATAGCGTTTTAAATTTATGCCTTAAAAGTTGTCACAGTTTACAAACTGAATATTAGAGCTTTCAATGTTTACATTAGCTAATACGGGAAGGTGATGACACGCCATATCTGGCACTATTGACGAGGCGCAAACTGTGTGGGAGACGTTGACACCGAGACAGATCAAGAATACCTCCATAGATATGCGTCAGTTCAAGGTCACCCACAATGTGCACCATCCTAACTACCTAATAGTGACACCAATTGGTTGCCGTTACAATTACTGAAAAGAATTACCAACATTGCTATGCCTAGCGTCATAATTACATAATGATAGTAGGCTATGATGATACAGGTCATAATTCAGCTAATCACTAGGAGCATACAGGTTAAAGCAATTGAGGGCAGAGTTCCCCCACGTAGAGCTTCACACCATGATACTGAAGCCCTTCGGTAAGCCCTTAACACACACAACACGAATGACTGGATTTAAGGTTATAGACAACGAAGGAGGGTAATTTAGGGTGTGGAGACCTGGTGGGAACTCTGCACTCCTGAAGAAATACAAGAAAATTAACTTTGGCATACAGAGTGGTAGACGGTTGGAACAAGTTAGGCGAGTAAATGGTGGAGGCCAACACCGTCAGTAGTTTCATAGTGTTACATGACAGTACATAGCTGTACCTACACTTAGGTATGCAGACAAGTTACAATGTTTAAGATATGATTACTAAACCACACAACAGAAGATGAGGAGAGGACTTTTCGGTCCGTCCTGGACCATTATCAATATACTTTATAATGGTCCGGGACGGACCGAAAACTACGCAATCTCATCTGGTGTGTGGTTCTGTAATCACACGCTTAGGTAATTACACTTAGGTTTGGGTTGCCATAAGTCCATATTTTCGACAAGTCCTAAATTCAGGAATCAATATTTGCGTCCGAAAAAAGAATTAAAAACTATAAATATACAACGCCAAAAGCCTACAGTGTTAGGCGGGGCACGGAGGGTCCTAGCGACTGTTCAGCCAGTCCTCATAAACAAAGCCCAAAGCTCATTCCATTCACCCGCCTGTTTATGAATGAAAAACTTGACACAAGACAACTGATTGCGTCCGAACACTTCCGGAACAAGTGCTTCGCTTACGGCTTTTGTTTGAATGACAATGCTGTAAGTGCTCCACCCACGTTGATAATCGCCAATAGAACCTAAACACCTAACCTAATCAAATGTACCCGCCAAATCCCCAGTTTATGATTGAAAAACGGTTTACACACGACTACAACTGATTTCGTTCGAACACTTCCGGAACAAGTGTTTTACTGACGAATTTTGTTCGAATCACAACACTGTAAATGCTTCACCCACATACTACAAATATAAATAATCGCCAACAGAACCTAAACACCTAACCAAACCTAACCTATGCCTATATATGCACATTATGCTAATATAGTTTAATATTAATTTATATCTGAGAAAATTCCTGTTTTGAATGAAGAGCATGTAAAACTTTATGAATGCGTCTGTGGGGTCGACCGCTGGATGGAATGGACTTGAGTTGAGAACGGGTTGGCAAACACAAATATTTGGTCAACATAACCAAAGACTTAATCTATCCTAAGCCTAATTATACACACAAAAAATTATAGTACACACTAACATTAATTTAAAATCTAAAACTTTAAGTACGTTTATTGAGACTAAAATACATCTCATAGGAATAGAGTAGCTTAGGCTATTTCTACCCTCCTCTACCTCAAGTCCTTCAAGGGGGCGCACAAGTCCAGTAATCCACAAATCGCAGTACAAAAATTACATTTTGCATTGCAGGTTAATATAATAAACACAGCATATAAGTGTTACACTCTTGGGGCAAAGTGCTTGTAGCTTCTAAGTATTCTGTCTATCATATCATTATTACACATCCAAACAACTTGATGTGGTACACTACTTATTTCTATAGTTATCAATAAGTTGACACTCTAATACATAATAATCTAAGGTGCGGCCGTGCGGCTTATTACATAATTTCCACTCCATTTCCACAGACATCAACACTGTATTGCCAGAAATATTTTTATCCTATTCTTAATCTCATGTAAATTGAATCCTTCCACACGGATCTTATTGCAAATTTTAAAATACTGAACAATTTGCAGGATGTTGATCCGAAAAATTTCTTCAGAAGGTCAAATGTAACACAAGCAAGGAGCAACGGTTTCAAGTTCGACAAGCTACAATGTAGGACTGAGAACAGGATATGTTTTTTCACCCACAAGGTTATAAATCCATGGAACCGCCTACCCGCCGAGGCCGTAAGTGCAAAGACTTTAATGTCAAAATCCAACTGGAAAAGAAAATCATGGCAATAGGGGGGCGGGGGGGACCTTCGACAAGCCGCCCGCTTCATGCTATCGTCGAGGTATATCAGTTGTAAATCCTTAGGTAAATCAGATATTTTTTTTCTCCCATAGTGTTATAAACCCACAGAACTCTGCCTACTACAGGACAAAGCCATAAATGTCAATACAATACACTGCTGCAATTCAAAATACAACTCTATATAGTCATCACGACACATGGGGGACCTTTGACAAGCCTCAGGCTTCCTGTCCTAGTCGATGCTACTAGAGATAGTGGCTCCTCAGATATATTGAGATCAATTCAGGTCAAATTTTTTTTACCTACACTTACTTGAAAATAACAAGTATTTAGGAGATGGAAAAAATCTTGTACATGTTTTCACTTTTATTGAGTATTGACCAACTTGAGTAACTGCCAACTATAAACTATCCGCCATGTATAAACTTAAAAAAAAATTATAATCTTCTGTTTATTTAGTTTAAATTACTTCTGCTGTTCTATATAATGTTTCCATGATTCAGTAATCATGGAAAAATGATTGTAAAAACGTAAAAATGATTGCTCATGTAAAAAGCGTGAAGCTATTGTTTAGTCAGGGTTAATTTGTTTTTGTATTGAGACTTGTATTTTCTCCCCGGATTCTCTGTATGACTAACCATCCTGTGAGATGGGAATATTAGATGAACTTACACCTTGTTTTTGAAATACACTGTGTAATCTTACATATATAATAGGGTAGCAGCACATTTATGTGTATATGTATGTTTTTGAAATACACTGTGTAATCTTACATATATAATAGGCTAGCAGCACATTGATGTGTATATGTGTGTTTTTGAAATACACTGTGTAATCTTACATATATAATAGGGTAGCAGCACATTTATGTGTATACCTAAGCTTGTTAATAAAAACACTCGCTCAGTCGACGGTCTCGCTTCATGCAGGTCGGCGTTCAATCCCGAACCGTCCAAGTGGTTGGGCACCATTCCTTCCCCCATCCCATCCCAAATCCTTATCCTGACCCCCTAACATCACAAGGCGTAATGGCTTGGCGCTTTCCCCCCCCTGATAATTCCCTCCCTCGCGTTTTTAATTCAATTTATGCTGTGATCTGAATTATTTTTAAGTTTTAATCTAAGTGTTTTCCCTACACCTTGCCCGGAACGCTGAGCGTATTAGTAATTGATTGATAAAGAATTAAGCCACCCAAGAGGTGGCACGGGCATGAATAGCCAGTAAAAATTAGAGTACTAGTGTTGTTGTTTTAGATTTAGCTACTCAGATCGAAGTGTCCATGTAGCACGGGCTATGGTGAGCCCGTAATGTATTAGTGATTGATGAAGATTAAGCCACCCAAAAGGTGGCACGGGCATGAATAGCCCGTAAGTGGTGGCCCTTTGAAGCCATTACCAGTATCAAGAGCTGATACTGGAGATCTGTGGAGGTGCGACTGCACCCTACGTGACGGGAGATGTTTCCCCCGTGAATGTATTAGTGTTGTTGTTGTTGTTATAGACTCAGCTACTCGGGACAAGTTCCAAGTAGCACGGGCTATCAAAGATTGGTCAAAAGGTCAAAAGATTGGCAGATGCAGTTTAATGCTGATAAATGTATGAGGCTGAGGCTGGGTAATGATGATAGAGTTACAAGATACGAGCTAGATGGTGAAGTCGGATTGCAAAAGGGATCTGGAAGTTATGATTAGTAAGAATTTAAAACAAAAGGATCAATGCATGAATGTTCGTAATAAGGCAAATCGGACACTCGGATTTATTAATCGCAGCATTAGTAACAAGACACTTGGTGTGGTTCTTAAGCTATATCTTGCTCTGGTTAGGCCCCATTTAGATTATGCAGTTCAGTTTTGGTCGTCGTACTATAGAATGGATATAAATTCACTTGAACGTGTCTAGCGTAGGATGACTAAGATAATTCCCCAAATTAGAATTTTTTCATATGAAGAAAGATTAACAAAGCTTAAATTGCATTCACTGGAAAGGCGAAGAGTTAGGGGTGACATGATAGAGGTTTACAAGTGGATGAATGGACATAACAAAGGGAATATTAATAGGGTTGACCAGACCACACACTAGAAGTTGAAGGGACGACGACGTTTCGGTCCGTCCTGGACCATTCTCAAGTCGATTGAGAATGGGTAATTCTCATTAATAGGGTATTAAAAGTATCAACACAGGACAGAACACGAAACAATGGGTATAAATTTAGATTTAGGAAAGACTTGGGTAAATACTGGTTCGGTAACAGGGTTGTTGATTTGTGGAACTAATTACCGCGTAACGTGGTGGAGGTGGGGTCCCTCGATTGTTTCAAGCGTGGGTGGGACATGTATATGAGTGGGATTGGGTGGTTATAGATAGGAGCTGCCTCGTATAGGTTAATAGGCCTTCTGCAGTTGCCTTTGTTCTATGGTGAACCCGTGTGGCTTTAGGCATAATATATACTAGTTCTATCTAGAAATCTAACATTCTGTTTGTAACTCATCTTGTATTTATGTATTATTACCCGAATAAACATTTTATTTTATTTTAATTTTACTTATTTGAATTCCGTTGAAATTGTTTACAAGTGAGAGTAAAGCGTAGAGCTTCTTTATTATGCACCCCATACCCATCCCGTGGGCGGTGGTGTAAAGGATTACAGAGGCACATAATCGGTTCAGGAACTGAACACTCTAGTTTGTTTAGCTAAGCAAATAATAAATTTTGACGCTAGTTCCAAAATTATTAATGTTATATGTTGGCGGCGATGTCAATGTTTTGAGCGTGTTGGGTGAGGTGGGTCGGCCATGTTGTGTTCCTCCGCGCTACATGGACAACACTAGCCCGGCTCCCTCCTTGCTCTCGTGCAGCTTCCTGGTCTCGTATCATCTGTGACAGCCGGGACCGTGTAATAAAGGTAAGTAGGGTGTCGTGTGGGTGTGGGCGTGGGCTAGGGGTGGTGGGCGGGCGGCAGTGTGGGCGGTGTAAGGTGGTGACGCCGCCGTGCGGGACCTGGCAGGCCTGGCCCACCGCCGCCATACTTCACTGTCTCGTGTTTTTCTGCGTTATTTAAAGTTTCTGCGTAATTGTTTACTTTTTGTGATTGTCAAAAGTCTGCGTTTCGTGTAATTTCGTATTTAATATTTCAGTATATTCATAAATAAGGTGCGGTTATTAACTACAATGCGGAGGAGAAAAGGAGAATGTAGGAAGACATTGATGACAAAAGAACTTGAAGACATTATGTGCCTCTGTAACCCTTTCCACTACCGCCCGCAAGATGGGTATGGGGTGCATAATAAATGAACTAAACTAAGAGGGTCAGAAGGAACTGTTGAAATTGTTTATGGGCTTTCATTAATCATTAAAACGCAACTGTTTACGCATGATCATAAAGGAGGCAGTCCGGCAGACATAAACAATTATAGACCAATATCAAACCTACCCATACTATCCAAAATATTTGAGAAAATTATATACAAACAGCTCTACTCCTACCTCGTAAAATTCGACATACTCGGCCCGTTAGTTTGGCTTCCGCTCTCAAAAGAGTACCAACGATGCAATTATTAGTCTCCTTGATATAATTTACTCAGCCCTTGACAATAATGAGTTTCCGATTGGACTCTTCATTGACCTGAGAAAGGCCTTTGATACTGTTAATCACAACTACCTCTTACGTAAACTCCATCATTATGGAATCCGAGGCCTTGCCCTGGACTATATCCAATCCTATCTTAGTGATAGACACCAATGTGTAGCCATCAATGATATAACCTCTCCCACTCTACCAATAACTATTGGAGTGCCACAGGACAGCATCTTGGGACCTCTCCTATTTCTTGTGTACATCAATGATCTGCCTAATGTCTCTAACATTCTTAAACCTATTTTGTTTGCTGATACTACCCTCATTTACTCAAATCCCAACCCACATACACTAAATAGTGTTACTAATGAACTACAAAAAGTCCACTTATGGATGTCGACCAACAAACTAACACTTAACATAGAAAAAACCTACATCTTATTTGGAAACAAATCAACGAATGAAATTCAGCTTCAAATAGACAATGTTAACATTAGTAATAAAAATGATGGAAAATTTCTTGGCCTATTCCTAGTCAAGAAACTCAACTTCAGCACCCACATACAACACACAACTAAGACAGACTCTAGAACAGTTGATATACTTTCCAAAATCAGATATTATGTACCTAACTGTTCTCATCTTGCTATATTATGCACTAATCTATCCCTATTAACATATTTTTGCTTCATTTTCAACTTGACATCTTTTTGAAGCCATCTTGAGATGAAAGGAGGCATGGTCGAGGACTGGGCTGCATCCCCGCGGCCCGGTCCTCGAACAGACCTCCTTTTTGTTACATATCCCTAGGAAGAAGCTCGTAGCAGCTGTCTAACTACCAGGTACCTATTTACTGCTAGGTGAACAGGTGCATCAGGGCAAAAGAAACTGCCCATTTGTTTCTGCCTCCACTGGGGATCGAACCTGGAACTCTGATTCCAGGTTCCTCAGGACTACGAGTCCGAAACGCTGTCCACCCAGCTGTCAGGGTCCCTTGATCTGAATTCAGGTCTTAAATTTGTTGTAACTTGGTCATTGCTCCAAATTTTCATGCAGACCAAAGAGATACAAAGTGTCAGGACGTAGTAATACCAGACAATAAGGTTAATTTTATTTTTTTGTTTACAAGTGCTGCCCTCTTGCCCTGTATTCTCAACCACTTGGGCTGGACGGTAGAATGATGGTCTGGCTTCAGGCAGGTCAGCGTTCAATCCCCAACCGTCCTAGTGGTTGGGTACCATTCATCTTTCCCGTCCCATCCCAAATCCTTACCCTGACCCCTTCCAAGTGCTATATACTATAGTCATAATGGCTTGGTGCTTTCTACTGATAATTCCCTTTTTCTTGCCCCTGGAGGAAAAGGTTTTCCTCGTCATGTAGACAGTATATTTTTTGACTAATGTATAGTAATGCTATTTCCAGGTTAGGTTTAAAATCAGGCAGAAAAGAGAATGTATTAAATGTACATAAATGTTGAGTAGAAATGGGCTGTGTGGGTTGATGTGATCTATTTTATTTAACTTACAGTACTATCACTATGCATGTTTGTATTAGATGAAGGGTTATTTTTGTTTTAATATTTTTTTTTTATTTACAGAAAATGACGCAATATTTACCGCCAAATTTATTGGCGCTATTTGCGCCAAGAGACCCCATCCCATATCTTCCACCCGTTGACAAATTAACATGGGAGAAGAGGACAGATGGTTACTCGGGTTTGGCAAATTTAATTCTAAAATTCGAGGTGAGCAAATTTTCAAATAAATTTTTTTATTTATAATCGCATACCTTAGTTCTGTATCTTAGTATATAGTGTGCATTATTGCTTTGGTTCTTTTTTAAATGTTGTTAATGGCTAGTCATCTTAAAACCTTACTTCAGTAGTACTCTAGATTTGAAATGGTGCAGAGTGAACAATAGATTTTTCTTTTCATTAATAGCCTTTTACAAATTAGTTTCATTAGAACACTAATGGAACAGTAGACAGTGATAAATGGCTGGCTGAGTGGTTTATATTGCTAGCCACCAATAATGGTATTTTTAAGCATATTGTAACTCTTTACATAATTATGAGATTTGGCATGCAAGATGTGCTGATTTTTAAATTTATGTGCAGTTAAAAGAATGTAACATAAATTTTTGTATTTATGTACAGTATATGAATCGTATGTTATTTATGGCCCTTTTATTTATTATGGAAAAACTGAGGCAATGGGACACGTTGAGTTAACTTCTGAGAAGAGGAAGAGTATTGTAAATGTTATGACTGGCAAATAATAAAGGTGATTGGCTGATTAATGAAAAGTTATGTTAAAGAATCGTTAGTATTTTAATAATTTGGTGCACTTCCTCGACTGTGTAATTGATATTACTTTAATGTTTATTTTACTTTGTCATAACTTCAATTGAATTTAACAGGATCCAAAAGACACCCCACCTCCAACAAGAGTGGAAACTCGTGAGGAGCGATTGGAGCGCAAACGAAGAGAAAAGGCAGAACAAATGCAGTATAAATTAGAACAAGAAATTGCTTTATGGGACCCTCATAATAGTGAATCTGCGACTGGAGACCCATACAAGACGCTCTTTGTTTCCCGCATTAATTATGATACCTCGGAGTCTAAGCTAAGAAGAGAATTTGAGATCTACGGTCCCATTAAAAAGGTTAGTCTTCTTTATTTAAGTACTTGTCACAATGCTGTAATTATTTTTTGTGTAATTTCCTGATTGAATAATGCTAATAAGATTTCTTCAAACCTTGTTTTGGCTTATACTGTACTGTATTATGATTTTGGCATTAGGCTTGGGATCAATTGTTCCTTGTAGTTGCCTACTGGTTTCCTGTCTTAATTACTTTAAATGTTTTTGGACTGAATACCAGTAGCTATTCATTTGACCACTAGTAGTGTGTCTGTCTTCCTACAGTACTTTCCTCATTATATTTTATAGTAAGGGCATGATTAAAGCATACATATGGATGAAAGCACATAATTCTTTTAGTGCCTCCCTATTTACTGTTGTACCCAGGGCCCTATCTTAGCACCTTGCAAAGCACACTGAACCTGTGTGTTCACTTTAGCTTAAATTATTATCTGTATGTATCTGCTAGCCTTATTGTCACTTGTTCAGTTATTGGCTGTGCCGGGAGATGGTTATCTCTGCAAAATTAAAATAAAAAACTGATTACTTCCCTTGGCCCCTCTACACTCTTCTTTGTCGATAGTTGTATGCTGGCCTTAAGCCTTTGATTCATAACCCTTGTGACACCCTGGATAAGGAAGCTTGACTGCAGGATGTGTTAAAAAAAATAGAAATGCCTCTTTAAAACCACACAAATCACATTCAAAGTGACCTTTTCTTTGAAATATTTAATAGGCATTTAATAATTGCCTTTATTTTTTAACACTTCAATTTCAATGAGTAAGAGCCATGAAATAAAAGAAATGCCACTTCATGATCACCTCATAAGCCAGGGCTGTTATGAATTACCTGTTATGTGGTACAGAGAATCTTGGAGGTTTTTGGCTAAGTTATTGATAAATAATTTGTTTTTGTTTTTTTCAAATTTGATTATTTTGTCTTTGCAGATTGTTATGGTTCACAACATAAAGACCGGAAAGCCTCGGGGATATGCATTTATCGAGTATGAACATGAGAGAGACATGCACTGTGAGTACCCAACAATACACGGTGTCCAACCATGCACCAGAAAAATTTATGAATACTAGAAGTGTCTTGTGTTTCTTTCAGTACATTTTTATTTAATTGATTTGAGGTATTGTTTTGTTCTCTTTAGGATTTCCTTTTGGTTTTGCCACATGTTGAGGATATTTTTTCTTGGGGGGGGGGGAAATAAACACATGATAGCTGATGCCTCCTGAAATGTCTTCAGTTTACATCAATCTTATCTATAGTCGAACTCCTCAATTTTGGCATATATGAGAAGACTTCTACACGGTAGTAATTCATTTTCGTAGATGTTGACTAAAGTTCTTGCGTGAATGAACTGGTTACATATAATATCCAATGTAAAAAATGAAAATCAGACTAAATGTAATTATAAGTTGTACCTTTCTAAGCAGTACACTCCTGCTCCCCTACAACAGGACCCTACTGACCCCTCAGTTATGATTGGCACAGCCAGAGGATGGCAGCATTATGCACTTGCACTGTTGGGGGGGGGGGGACTTTTGATCTGGTCTCACTTAGTTATATTGAGGAATACTTATTCATCCCAGAATATAGCCAAAGTGCATTTACATAACACTGAATGACTTTCTAACTTAAGCAAAGGGTTATGCACTTTAATCCCGATTTCTGAGATATCATATTCAGATGCTTCTCAAGATAGGTGTCAAGCCACTAAAATTTAAATAAGGATAAGGCTTATCTGGGCTGTAGATTTGAGAACAAAATCTGCTAACAAATACATGCTGGAACAAATTAGAGTTGCAACCCTGCATGAAAAGACTTACCAAATGAAAGCCTCTACAAGAGGTTCCAGGAGGTTAACTTGAGCACTGAAGTTGATTTGGACATTTTCGAGAAAAGTGCCCTCATGGTCCCTCCGGTACTGACACTGAAGTACTTGTGATTATTGCTACCTGGAAAAGCCTGTAAAAGCTTATGGCTAATTGAGCCTGATCTTGCAACCAAGGGGGTGTAAACAGATGAAATGCAACTAGAATTGCCGATGATGATTCACAATAACGTGGCTGAAAAATGTTGACCAAACCACACACTAGAAATTAAGGAGACGACATTTCGGTCCATCCTGGACCATTATCGAGTCTGTCCTGGACCATTATCAAGTAGATTGGTCCAAGACCGACCGAAATGTCGTCGTCTCTTCAATTTCTAGTGTGTGGTTTGGTCAACTAGAATTTTCAGCAAAATACATAAAGCATTGTAGGAAGGAAGATCAATGACACCTGCACCCCAAAAGGGATAGATCTCCCACAAGAAAGCCACTAATTTCCAAATCATGCAAAGCTTGTCATTTTTCCATAGAGCTGCTAAAAGCACCCAAATCTCTAGGAAACATAGTACTCCCATTGTGACTGGGAAAGAAGTAGTTTAAGAACTTTAATTAAAAAGAACTTTAAACAAATATATACATTAAGTTATGGCCAAAGTTTACTAAAGTGCAGACCAATGTATAAACTAAATATCAAATTCATAAGGAAAACTTCAGTTCCATAATTAAAAGGTTTGAACTTTGCTTGCCCATATTATCTGAATCCAGGGCCAAATCAATAGAATGTAGAAAGGTTGAGTTTACAGGCTGTGGTGGTGCTACCATCTGGTGGGATTTAAGTGTATCGACTGCTGGTTTAATTGGTAGTTGGCACTTCAAGAAGTGTACTCTTTTCACTATCCTCACCTTAATTTTCGATGTACGTATTTCATTTTTGTAGCAATGTGTACGCAATAGAATGTTCTAGAAGAACATACGTATAAAATGTCACCAAAGCATGAGTTAGACCAGCACCAAATAACTACGTCGATCACTAGCAGTGAGCGCCAAACAGTGACGAAATGTTTCTACTCTTTTTCAGGATTGTCACCTCCACACTTGTCCTACAGCATTAAATATGGTATCACTGAGATCGCAATAAAATTCCCTACTTGGACATATGCATACATGTAGAATCATGATCGCGGCCCACCCGCAAGAGTGTGGGAAGTGGCCGAAGTGTTACCTGTTACCGCACACCCGACGGCACATTGACGAGACTATTGAAAAGCATATATGTACTCTCTTTCACTGTTCTGACCTTAATTTTCGATGCACGTATTTCATTTTTGTAGCAATGTGTTCGCAATAGAATGTTCTAGAAGAACATGCGTATAAAATGTCACAAAAGGATGCATTACACTGGCATCAAATAAAAAACTACGTCGATCACTAGCCGTGAGCGCCAAACAGCAATTTTTTGGGGATAGTACACCTTGAAAGAGAATGGACCACACCATGTCATCGCCTATTTGGGAGAATGGAAATTTCATGGCACACACTTTGACACTATCCCCAAGTCGATCGGATAAAAAGTGGATTTTATAGAAATATTTTTCTCATGCCGCTTGAATGCGACACTTAGAGGATTCAAGAGAAAAATGACTGCCGCTCTCAAGCGACATCGGTCCACGAAAGTGTTAAGCATAGGTCAGGAGACATTATTGTTCATATGAATAGGAGCGGCCTCATATGGGCCAATAGGTCTTTGTGCCTTTATTATGTTCAAATGATGGTTAGTTGACCTGGTATACATTACAACCATACAGGTTTGTGAAAACCATATGAACGTCATTGAAATATACATGAAATTGTGGAAATTTTATAAAATCATAATTACCTCATTAGTGTACTAACATTTGCAACAATAACTGCATATATATAGTAAGAAAAGTATGTCAAGGTAAACACCACTTATTTCCATATAGAGCTATTAAATCTATATTAACATCATTCATGTACAGCCTTGGCCATGATATTGTAACACGGGACGGGGTTTAGGCTCTCTTGTCCTTTACCCTGCCCGTAAATAACTTAATTCCAAGACCCCAGAGCTAACTCTCGGCTGAGTCCCACGCCACATGGTCTTAGACGTTCGATCGTCTAAGATTCTACAAACACGTGACGTCAACACTAGGCTTTCTAGCCAACTCGAGGGATCGTTTTACGCTACCACCACCAAACCAAAACAATTCGGATTAATTAATTGGGGTTTGGGCCAATTAATTAACTATTAATCCTTGGGGTAGGTTATCCCCAATTTCGTGGAACGGGAGGTATTAGTTACGTTAAGTGTGGAAATTAGCTTGCAAACAAGGGAATATATCGGATATTGACCTGGACTAGGCTTGGTCCATGCTCCTCTATAAGGAGAGACCATGATTGAGAATCTGTATTAAATAATCCTCCACAACAAGCTTAGTTTGTTACAATATAGTGGTTAGAATGTATATTAACTGCATTACTCCATGAATCAATGTATGACAAAAAATGCATTTAAAGGGTTAAAAGTGTTTGTCTATCAAAGGACTTTTTGCAGTCTAGGAAGATATAATCCATCCCTCTTACTGCATTTTGTGGACTTGTAGAATGCAGTTGACTTAATCAGGCATGGCCTGCCTTATCCTTTATAACCATGATGTGTTGGTTACAAGACTAGTCCTCTGACATACTTCATGTATGTATACTTTTGGTCCTGGAGATGCACAAATGCATCTCAAAGTACTTTGTTCTTGGCCAAGAATTAAATTTTGTTTTTGAAAGGTGCCCTAGGTTGTCATCAGGTTTGCCATGTCATATGTCCTGTGGTTTTTGCATTGGTAACTCTCCTTATAAGTATTCTTGTTTTGAATCCCTGTCAGTTTAATCAATGGAGTATGATCCCTTGTCCTACAGAATGCATTTCTCAACTGCTTTGCTTTGAAATGGTGAAATTTAGTCATTTTGGGTGTTTGTGCTTATCCTGTGGAAATTTGCCACCACCTTTGCTTTGCTTTATGGTTAATTCAGTCATATCCTCCCCAAAGATATAGTAAGTGTGTTGCCTTGGGAGCAACTGACGTGATATAGGTTAGCTTTAAAGCTTTGCATTAAAAAAAAAAACTAAACTGAGCATGGTACTCGGTTGCTCAAGCTCGTTATCTTCTGTGCTTGACTGGCTGGCTTTAGAGTATTGGTTACATAGCGAGGTATCTTGAGCCTGGGGACTGTTAGGTGTAGTAGTTGTAGCTGTGCTGGGTAACTTGTTAGCGAGTGTTAAATATCAGTTCCAGGCTGACAGTACTGTATTTGGAAAGGCTTGAGTGTTATAATATGCTTTATGACCTGCCCGAAACGCTATGCATACTAGTGGCTTTACAGGAATGTTAACAGTATTCAGCCCCGGGCGTGCGCTTAGCGCCACACCATCCTCCACACCCCCCCCCACACCACCCACACCATCCCCACACCCACCCATACCATCCCCACACCACCATACCATCCCCCACACCACCCACACCATCCCCCACACCACCCACACCATCCCCCACACCACCCACCACCCACACCACCCACACCATCCTCCACACCACCCACACCATCCCCCACACCACCCACACCATCCCCCACACCACCCACACCATCCCCCACACCACCCACACCATCCCCCACACCACCCACACCATCCCCCACACCCACCCACACCACCCACACCATCCCCCACATCACCCACACCATCCCCACACCACCCCCCACCATCCCCCACCACACACCCACACCATCCTCCACACCACCCACACCATCCTCCACACCACCCACACCATCCCCCAAACCACCCACACCATCCTCCCACCCCCACACCATCCCCACACCATCCCCCACACCACTACCCACCATTCGCCCCCACACCACCCACACACACTCCCCACACCACCACCATTCGCCCCCACACCCACACTCCCCACACCACCACCCACACCATCCCCCACCCACACCCACACACCACCACCCACATCATCCCCCACACCATCCTCACCATCCCCCACACCATCCCCCACACCACCCACACCATCCCCCACACACCCCACACCACCACCCACATCATCCCCCACACCATCCACACCATCCCCCACCATCCCCCACACCACCCACACCATTCCCCACACCACCCACA